GGGGGGGGGGGGGGGGCGCCGCAGGGATCTAATTTCAGAGTATGATGGAGAATGATCTAATACTCCCGTAATACTCCTGCTGCTTATTCGGACTGGAAAGCGTCGCTACGAGAAATACGCGTGGCCTGATTGGGTCTGGAAGAGGCGCAGCCGTCCTGGTTTTGCGGGACCGATCCTTCCTAGGTCTCCGGGCTCTGGTCTCTGGGTTCTGACCCCATCTAAGCCTACGAGTGTCGCTGTAATGGCTGTGCCTGTAATCTGTACAGGCCTGGCGGGCAGGTGCCTGTAACCTGTAGGCTCTGGCCAGTTGCCTGTACAGCGACGGTGGGCTGGTGAACTGCAGTGATAATATAGCGGATACAGGTCTTGGCTGGACTCTCTCCCGGCTCTCTCATTGTCTGGCTATTCGTATTATCGCATGCCTACCCGTACAGATACTCACGCAGTAATACCAGGTATCGATACATATCATTCCAGATTATAGTACGGCTTACGTTGCTCCGTCACAGTATGCTCGTTCGTATCGGTGTCTGTCTCATTTCTCGTCCCGAGTCTCATCTGATTTCCCATGTCCGTATATCTCTCCTGCTTGTTCCTGAGTCGCCGCATCTTCGCATTACTCCACAACAGCATTCACTATTTCGATTGCTGGCGGTAACAGAGAGATCCGGCTGAGTGATGTATGTATGTATGTATGCATATATATATATATGTGCGTGCGTGTGTGTGTGTGTGTGTGCATAGATACACCCGTATCAACCCCGCCACGTCYCSCYCCCCCCCCCCCCGGGCTGTCTACTTAACATGACAGAGAGATGCCCACCCAACTCGCGCCGACCTCTGCCTCTGACGGTTCGACAAGGCACCTGCGTATTGCAGTCATCGACGCCTCCGGGAATGGCAGCTGACACCATCCCAGCTATATGGATACGCCACAGCTCTGCTCCGGTCTCCGAGCAAGGTGCTGATGCTCCGATGCCAACCGCCAGGCCTCGGAACCGTGCGTCTATTCCCCATCGATAGCGCAGCCCGTAGACTGCAGCTTCGTCGTCGTAGTCAGTTCCAGAGGTGTGCTCGTTCGCCGTGTGCTCTCGCAGACATGCTTTCGCAAGACTCAGCTCGCGCCATGTCGTCTCGACAGCTCCACGCGCATCATGCTTCCGAGCAACGCTCGAGTTTTTTTTTTTTTTCGAGGGTCTTGCCGTCTTCCCCTGCCGACGTACTCTCAACCAGTCTTCTTATCCTCCTGCCTCTCCAGAAACGCCCTGGCCTTGTCCCACAGCTCCGCCTCCATCTCCCTCTCCACCTTGGATCCCTGGCTGTTCAGCCATCCGATGTCCAGGCCGCCCACGTTACCCATACCATCGGGCCGCAGCGAAGTCTTGCCAGAGATCGTCCCGGTCCCGGTCCCGGTCCCGGTCCCTGCGGCCGCCGCGTGCGGCTCTTGCCTCGACGTGCCGCCGAGTTTGACGATGCCGGCCTCCTCGAGGGCCATGATCTGCCTCTTCATCCTGACGTCCACGCTGTGCAGCGTGTGGAGGAAGGAGTCTGTGGCCGAGTGGAGAGCTTCCTTCTGCGCCGCGGCCGACGCTGCACTGCCGCCGTCGCCACCGCCGCCACCTGCTAGCGAGCCCATCGATACCGCGTCGAGGGCTGTAGCCGTGTGGCTCATGAGCTGCACCGTGCTCCTGTCTATCTCGCTGAGTTGCCGGATGTTTTCCTCGACGGTAAAGGGCTGGTGGGTGTTGTCGTCGACATCGCCCATGGGTTTGTCGTCTGGGGAGGACATGGCGGAGATGGTCAGGTTCAGCAGTTTCAGCAGTTACAGCAGCTCGGATCTTCGATGATGCGGATAACAGCGACACCTTCGTATCTCGTAGCCCCGCTGAACGAGGACGAGCAGGTGAGAATGGTTCTGTGAGAGTTCTGCGAGAGTTCTGTGAGAGTTCTGCGAGAGTGCTGGCTGCTAGCTGGCAGTGAGGGAGACGCGCCTTCCGCTAGTGCCACCCCGCCGCTGTTCACCTCCCCGGCTAAACCTCGGCTTGTCTAACCGCCCCTCCCCAGACTCTCTCACCTTTGAGTCCTTCGAACCTTGGGCTTTCCATGGTAATAATTGCTTCGTGCGATTCAGCTATTCACTGTCCCGTATATCCAGCGCGTTTTCATCATCGACACTCTTTTCTTGAGTCCGCACCGACGCGATTGACACCTCGCTGCCATAGACGTTCCAGAAGAATCCCTTCACTTGCTCACCGAATCCCCCCCGGCTCATCGGGCGGGGGAAGCTTCTCCTGCTCTGCTGGTGACTACTTCCCTGCCCTTGCATCTGGGCGTTCTTACAGCTCCGGCTGTATACGCACCGGCCAGATCGGGCACCGTCTGTACCAAGCATCCTGTCTGGATCATCTGCCATCTTGGCACACGGGGAATCACGTATACGTCCGTCAACCAACGCTGTCTGGTTACACCGTCATCATGTCCGGTCAAAATCCCACGCCGGTTGCCATACCCACCAACAATGGCTTCAACGCGCAACAGCCCGTCTCTTCACCTGCCCCGGCGGCTCCTGCGGCCACAAACTCGGGCGGCTCAGGATCGGGGACGTCAATGTCGAATCAGAACCTAAACCAGATTGTATGTATATGAATCCTCTCTTTCAACGCTGTCTTCTCATTCCATGGAGATTTCCGAGGTGGCGGTCGCCCTTCTTGCTCGCTTCGTCTTTCGAGGCATCGCAGAGCAAGCGTGGATGGCATCGGCCGCTATTCGCGCCGCATAACACTGCAGCATCGGTACGATCGCCTCCTCTGCACGAGGCCTCAGAGTCTGCTGCGATGATTTCGGGTCCCTCACTATTCCCTTATTCCCCCACGCAACAAGAGCAGCACCGTCTCATCGACGTCCGTAAACATGCATCGGACAACTGCGTCTCGGGGGAGACGAGTCATGACAAGAAACATGCATCTCTCTCGAATTCGTAAACGAGGCCCTCCCGGGAGTGACTGTACAGCGTATAGCATTGCACAGCTGCGCTGCCCTGTCTAGCCTGCCTCAAGATCACTCTGCTTGTCAAAGATGGCCACCTCCCAAGCACTTGAGCCGCAGACCGTGTCCTCTATTCAGCTGCTGACATCCGCACCAGGTTACAGACTACCTTCTCAAGAGGGGATTCAACCGTACAGAAGAAATATTCCGTCAAGAGTCGAAGCACCTGGGCCCCGATGGAAAGCCTCTCCAGCAGCTTGCCAACCTCGGACCCAAGAAGTACACCAAGGCCTTCAACCTCCTGCACGGCTGGGTCGAGAACAACTTGGACATATACAAGGTACCATCCCTCTTTCAGCATGGACTGCTTGAACGGTCGCCGCTTCCGGCATGAACCCTCGCTGATACCCGCCAGTTTGAACTCTCGAAACTCCTGTGGCCCATCTTTGTATATTCATTCCTCGAGCTCGTCGTCAACGGCTACGGAGAGGATGCGAAGGCCTTCCTGAGAGATCTCGGCCCGCGCTTCGAGGCCGGCCACCGGGACGACCTCCAGATCTTCTCTACCGTCACGCTCCCCCAGCATGTTGAGGACAACAACATCACCAGGCTCTACATTCACAACAAGTACCGCGTGCCGCTGAATCAGCACGCCACCAGCGATCTCTTCAACTTCCTGGAACGCGAGACCGATCAGGGTGGCTCCGTCATCCGCCAACTCCTCGTCGCACACTGCCAGATCGACGCCACGTCTCGCGGCCCCATCACGCCCTTCAGCTTCGAGGCGGTGTACCACAAGTCCAAGAACTTGGAGCTCGACGAAGCAGACGCCAATGAGGGCATTCCCGGCGTAAACATCGGCCTGTCCAACAAGGAGATCATGGACCCGGCCGCACCCCTCACTCTGGGTCCGCTACCCATGGATCCCGACCTGAAAGAAGACGTGCGCGCCGAGATTGAGGAGATCGAGGCCCGGAGCCCCCCACCCGAAGGCCGTCCGAGCTTGATTGATGATTTTGTTCAGAAGATTAAGCGCGAGGAGAGTGCCGACGTTCCCAGCCGTTCCGACCTCCCCTTGCCGCCCTCGCGACCTCGCGACATCATGCTGGAGATGTCCAAACTCAGGGAGAACCGAGACCGGTTCAGAATTGAGGGCCGCACCGGCGGTGTTGGGATTCCCGTCAGCTCGTGCATGTTCACCTTCCACAATACCCTGGGAACGTAAGTCGTCTGCTCCCATAGCCCAGAGGGCTCTCCTCGGAAGAAGAAGAGGAGGAGGATGAAAAAAAAAAATGAGATTGGATAAAGTGAAATGGAAGACAACCTAACACGGTCTTGCAGCGTATCGAGCATGGACTTCTCAGAAGACGGTGTCATGGCTGCCGTCGGCACATCCGAGTCGTACATTCGCGTCTGGTCTCTGGACGGCAAAGCTCTGCCATCCAAGAACCCGCATGACAGAGACCAGAAATACAACAGCAGAAAGCTCATCGGCCACTCGGCTCCCGTTTACGACGTCCACTTCTCCGACTCGGCGCCTGGGGAGCCGCAGAAGCTATTTGGCGAAGAGGGCCGTTCCAACCCGGCGCTCGACACCCGCGCAAAGCTCCTGCTATCGTGCTCGGCTGACGGACAGATACGGCTGTGGTCCCTAGAGTCGTGGACATGTCTCTGCCTGTACAAGTCGCACGACGGTCCCGTGTTCCGCTCCCTCTGGAGCCCCCACGGGCACTACTTCCTGACGGGCGGCTACGACAAGGCCGTGCGGGTGTGGATGCAGGACCACGCCTCGCCGGTCAGGCTGCTGGTGGGCCACGATACAGCCATCTCGGCCCTGACGTGGCACTCTAACGGACTCTATGTGTTCTCGGCCTCGGACGAGACGGACAAGTCGATCCGCATGTGGTCGGTGACGACGGGGTCGTGTGTCCGCGTCTTCACCGGCCACACCGACTACATCAGTGCCCTCGAGTGCTCCCCCAATGGCAGGATCCTGGCCAGCGCCGACGCGGCGGGGAACATCATGTTCTGGGACATCGAGAAGGGTACGCGCATGAAGCGCTCCAGAGGCCACGGCAAGGGCGGCGTCTGGTCTCTCAGCTTCAGCCAGGAATCCAACGTGCTCGCCTCGGGCGGGCAGGACGGCACAGTCAGGCTGTGGGACGTCGAGCTCCCCGCTGACCCGCAAAAGGCCGCGCAGCAGGTCGGTCTGCTCGACGCTTCCACCGGTACCGGCGCCCTGCCGCCAGGCACAGACCCTGCGGCTGCCAGTGCCGCCGGTGCCGCCGGTGCCGCCGGTGGCGACGGCATACGAACGGGCACAAACGCTGCTGGACAGCCGTCCACCGCTGGCGGCACGGGTACGGGCACGCACAAGAAGAAGGGCAAGGAGGTCATGATTACCCCCGACCAGATCAGCGCTTTCCCCACCAAGAAGACGCCCGTCATGAAGGTCAAATTCACGAGGATGAATCTTGTCATTGTGGGAGGATGCTACGACGCCGAGCGTTAGGAACCGCAAGACGGAGAAGAAAACTCAGGGGTGTACGTTTCCATGCGGCAGATGAGGAGGTGCGAGCTGTAATCTTGGACTGGATGGCGGGATGAAGCGAGAGGGAGACGAAATCATATAATATTATATATATATATATCTTGTGATGGTCGCCGGTATGTCTGCTGGGTGCTGCGGAGTTGGGACCATATGATTGATAGTAATCTAGGGAGTAATTACCGGTCATGGTAAAGGCTCTCGTCGGTTCGAGGCCTAGTCTCCTACACAAACCGTAAAATTCACGTATGAGGAGGAGGAGGAGGAGGAGAAGGAGAGGAAGAAGATGCAGTTGGTCAAGATCGATGACGAGATGTTAAGACAATCCGTACAGGTATCCTCCTACCGATACCAACCAGAATCTCGTAGCTATCATCCACCAGGCAGAGAGGTCGAGGTTGGGGGGGTTCCGTGAAGGGGAGGAGGCAAAGTGGGGCGAGGCGCGATCGAGCAAGATGCACTGACGTTGTTCAGGAGCCCACATGCGCAAGCATCCGCCGTCCACTTTAAACCCTCCGATCCGCCAACAACCCGCGCTCCCCCAACCCGACGAAGAAGAAACAATCCGAGAGGCAAGGCTTCCCTCTGCATCGCAGCACACACCGGCAACCATGGACGTCGAAGAGTCGCCCTGGGCGGACACCAAGAAGCCAGAGGGTCAGGAAGACTCCAAGCCGTCTACCGCTCCCGACGCATCATCGAGCGCCGCCGCATCCGTGACTTCACCTGCCACGGCATCGACGCCCCGTCCATCCCGCGGACCTCGTCGCCTGGTGGCCCAGCCTACGCGTCTCGAAGCCGTCGATGATCCCCTCGGTCCGCTGGGAGCTGCCGCCTCTGCACCTGCAGCAGGCACGCACGACGACGACGACGACGTGCTGGGTGGCGCAGGTGCAGGTGCAGGTGTAGGCGATGACGGGTCGAAGCCGCCTGTTCCTCCCCTCAAGGAGGTTGTGATGAGGACCACCATGTCTGGCGGAGCGCAGCCGAGGAGGGGCCCGCACAGTACCTTTGGTGACGACGAGGACGAGATCGCCATCGGCGGCGGCGGCGCCGGAGGTGCACGCGCCCCTCCGCCCGTCGATGCTGCCGGACCTAGTGGTGTGCTGAGCAGCACGCAGCCTAGCGTCAGCGTCGAGCAGGCTGCTAAGCCGAGCTTCCATATCTCGGTGGGGGATCCAGTCAAGATTGGGGACTTGACCAGTTCGCACATTGTCTACAGTGTTCGGACTCGGGTACGATTTTTTTCTTCTTCTTTTTTTCCCTCATTTTTCCCTTCTTCCTTTCTCTTTCCTGCTTCTTCCATGTCGTGATCCGGTGACTGACTCTGGCGAGGACAGACGACTTCCAAGGCCTACAAGCAGCGCGAATTCGAGGTCAAGAGGCGATACCGCGACTTCCTCTGGCTGTACACGACTCTGCACTCCAACAACCCTGGGTGCGTGGTGCCTCCGCCGCCGGAGAAGCAGGCGGTGGGACGGTTCGACAGCAACTTTGTGGAGACGCGGCGGGCGGCGCTGGAGAAGATGCTGAACAAGACGGCGTCGCACCCGACGCTGCAGCATGACGCGGACCTGAAGCTCTTCCTGGAGAGCGACTCCTTCAACGTGGACGTCAAGCACAAGGAGCGCCGGGACCCGCTGCCGGCCGAGAGCAAGGGCGTGCTGGGGTCGCTGGGCATCAACGTCGGCGGCGGCAACAAGTTCGTCGAGCAGGATGACTGGTTCCACGACCGCAAGGTGTACCTCGACGCGTTGGAGAGCCAGCTCAAGGGCATCCTCAAGGCCATGGACACCATGGTCGGCCAGCGCAAGATGATGGCCGAGGCGGCGGGCGACTTCTCGGCCTCGCTGCACGCCCTCTCCACCGTCGAGCTGTCCCCCTCCCTCTCGGGCCCGCTCGACGCCCTCTCGGACCTGCAGCTGATGATCCGGGACGTCTACGACCGTCAGGCCCAGCAGGACATGCTCACCTTCGGCATCATCATCGAGGAGTACATCCGCCTCATCGGCTCCGTCAAGCAGGCCTTCTCCCAGCGCCAGAAGGGCTTCCACGCCTGGCACAGCGCCGAGGCCGACATGATCAAGCGCAAGGCCGCCCAGGACAAGCTGCTCCGCCAGGGGAAAAGCCAGCAGGACCGCCTGAACCAGGCCAGCGCCGAGGTCGCCGAGGCGGAGAGGAAGGTCCACCAGGCTCGTCTGCTGTTTGACGGCATGGGACGGTCCATGAGGACGGAGCTAGACCGCTTCGAGAAGGAGAAGGTCGAGGACTTTAAGAGTGGCGTCGAGACGTTCCTTGAGAGCGCCGTCGAGGCACAGAAGGAGGTAGGCATCTCTTCTTCTTCTTCTTCTTCTTCTTCTTCTTTTCTCTCTCTCTCTCTCTCTATCCCTCTATCTCTCTCTCTATCCCTCTATCTCTCGATCGATCGATCTATCCATCTATCCATCTCTCTACATTCGATCCCTGTCCTCAATTCACCCCTATCGACATACAACGACTCCGGTGTACGTCCCATGCTAACTTTGAGACACAGCTCATCGAAAAATGGGAAACGTTCCTCATGCAACTCGATGCCGAGGATGACGAGTCCGTCTTTTACAAACCACCCGTGTATCAAGCCGATCAAGCCAAGGCTCCAGGGGACACGGCCGTCGACCGAGCTAGGGCTAGACTTCATGAAGACTCGGACTAGATATCACTCCTCCTTTACCTTTTTTTTTTTCGTATTTCGCAGACTATACCACCGGTCTCTCGCTCTCTCCGGGAGCTTGCTATGGGCGTGGAAGGGGGACTAAAATAAAAAACAGAAAAGAAAGAAGCAGGGAAGGAAGGTGTTCGATGAGGATCCTATTGTAGTTTTGCTTTCTTGTTTTTCATATCTATATTTCTTTCCGATATGTTACATGCTAGCCTGTGGCTTCTGTTGTTACACGGTACGTCTGACACGGCGCTCACACCCTCTACCTGCACAGTCCATACAATCCTTGTCGTAGGGAGACAGTAGTAGGAACCCACGAGAAACCCCAGATATGTTTCGTCTCAGATGATCTATTTCTTCTTCTTCCCGCCGGGGGCGGGGGGCGACCCACCATCCTTCAAGGAGGAAGTCACGTCGGGGGCATATGAAGAGATGAGGTCGCCGTAACCATCATCCTCCGGTTCGTCCTCGGCAGCCTTGGCGGCAGCAGCAGCATCTGAGGAAGAAGAGGCGGCCTTGTGGCCGTCGTATCCCTCCGCCGCGCCCTCCTCGCCAGGCTGGGCCTTCTGGTCAAAGGCGCGACCGAAGCGTTCACGGAAGGCGGCCAGCTTACCGGCCTCGTCGACCTCGACGTTGCGGAGCTTCTTCTCCGACGGCTGCCAGAGCAGGGTGTTGCGCGAGTCCTTGCCCGTCCTGTACAGCGGCTGAGGGGAGGTGGTGCGCGCCACGTACGACGACCCGTCCGACAGCTGGACGAGCTGGGTGAAGGTGTAGGGGCGGCGGGGGCGGCGGACAAAGGTCGCGTGGCGGACTTGCTGGGTGGGCGTGGACGTCGTCGGGGCGCGGTGGTACGTGGCCGTTATCGAGGGAGCCGTCGTCGCCGGAGAGCATAGGAAGGCTGTCGTCGGACGGGTGGCGGCTGCCGAGGACAGGAGCGATGTCGATCTGGACATTGTGGTGGTTGGTTGGGCGACGGGATATACGCGATTGGAGAAGAATGGACCCCCCCCCTTTTGATGACGGGCACGCGCGAAAAGAGAGAGGGAAGAATAAAAATAAAAATGGAGATGAGGATGGAAGATTGGGAGAGAGGGAGAGATAGCGAGCTGCTTATCGATAAGATCATTTTATCGGGGGGAAGAACCGCGGACCTTCTCCGTTCTGATGGGTAGGACCGAAGGTGGGACCCTTCCTCCTCCACTCTTAAGTCCGTCTCTCGGACATGTTCCTTTTCTCCTTGATTACTCATTTCACCTCCGTGATGATCTGGCAGGATCGGAGAATCCGTCTACCTGAAAGTTGAGCCAAGAGAGAAACGGGAGCCGAGGACGCCTGGAATGCCATGATGCGTGGACTCTCTGCGGCGCGGTACGCGCCTGGAGCTGCCAGGGGAGCATGGGCTCGGAGCTCGACAAGGAGAATACCATCACAGGCGACGTCAGCGCCGCGGCGAGCGCTACGGACGCCGGATCTACGGAGTGAGTGCCGCGTATGCCGTATGCGCGTTGCAGCCCGAAAGCTGACCGGTTGCCAGACGCTACCCCATCACGACGACTCCACACGCCAGGTACGACGAAAGCGGAGACGACAGAGGACCGGGAGGGCCAGCAGCCCACGGCCGTGGTCGACCCTCTACTGCCTCTCCCGGACCGATTCCGCACGGCCATGCGCCTCCTGACGCACCCGGTCCTGGTGCTGACGGCGCACGACGGCGCGGCGCCGCGCGCGATGACCATGTCGTCCTTCACGACGCTGTCCGTGGCGCCGCCCACGCCGCTGGTGACGTTCAACATCGCTACGCCCAGCCAGACGCTGGACGCCATCGTCGGCGACCCGGACGGCCACTTCAACCTGCACCTGCTGGCGGCGGACGGGCGGGGCGCCAGGGTGGCCGACCACTTCACCAGGGGCAACAGCGTGGCCGGGCTGTTTGACGGCATCGAGCACGCCGCCGGCACGGGGGGCGGGGACGACGGCAGGGCGCCCGTGCTGCTGGGCGGAGGGGTGCTTCACGTCCTCAGGTGCCGGCTCGCCAGCCGCGACGCGCCGTCCGGCGGCCTGGTGCCGGTCAGGGACCACGTCATCGTCGTGGCCGAGGTGGTCGACATGGTGGCCGGCAAAGCAGGCGACGGCTTCGCACTGGCGTATACGGATCGGAGGCATAGGAGGACTGGGGAGCGGATCGATATCGAGAGGGGCTGAATGGCCGGGTGTGCTCGGTAACAGGCATGGATATATGCATATGCAGACACGATAAATTGACAAATACTAGACAGGGAAAATGGGTCGGTCTGCGTCGGACGGCTATATGCAGTGTGGTATCTGTATCTGTATCAGGTGGCATCGTCGTGGGGCACCCGGAGGGTGGAATCAGATGGTACGTGAATGGAACCAGACGCTGCATCCTTGTACGGATCACTAGTACGGGGTAGGTATCATCGGTATCTGGTGTAGATCAAGAGAGGAAGGGAGCCTATTGATAGCAAATCCAAGCGTTACCAGGAGCAAGCGGTGGGAGATTGGATGGAACCTATGCGATGCGAAGAGCGACCATACTACAAGATTGAAACATGAGTAATATATATATATATATATATATATGTGTGTGTGTGTGTGTGTGTGTGTGTGTGTGTGTGTGTGTGTGTATTGTATTATGCATTGCCGTGGGAGGGAGAGAATGTGTGTGGCAGTCCAATATCATGTCTACAGGGTCCCCCGTAAGGATATATCATCTACAGATTACGGAGTACATGTATACAGATCTGTGCACGCTCCGTAGTGATCTGTACAGGTACTTCTTATATGATCCTGGTCCTAATAGCTATCCTCATATAGAGCGGGACGGGTGTCGTACCAATACTCATACCATGTCCCTGTCCAATCTCGTGACTTTTATCTTGACACACACACACACACACACTATATGATAGAGAGAAGAACAAGACCAGAGAAAAAGAAAAGAAAAAAGACACCAAAAGAAAGTCCGAGGTACGTGCATCAATATGGCACTCATAGTATTGATAGTATTGACATCAGATTGAAGAAGAAGAAGGAAAAAAGCGTTGTCAATACCTCGGGTCCTCGACCCCTTCACATGGACGTGACCGGCCGAGGCCTTCTGAGGCATCGACCGGCGCAGGGGAAACGTTGCCCCGCCAGCTCATGCGTCTCCCAACTTAGACCCTTTACGTGGAAGTGCTACCAGTGCAGCATACCAAAGAGTCAAGACTGTCTTTTGTAACGCATATGCCGAGACAAGTCATATGAGTGCTTTAAATCAGCGGCAATTATATGGCCTTTTTCCCACTACGACACATGCGAGTACACACGCGAGGTTACATCATCAACAACGGCAAGATACCACCGACGTCCCGACTCGGTTGCTGATCTCTCCTTCTCCCCCTACCCCCTGAGCTTTGAGGTGCGCCGCACGACCGCCATCTTGTCAACAAACCCACACCGACCCGCCCGTCGCTACTCCTCCCCCTCCCCCTCCTTCGGCGGCGACGACGACGACGACGACGACGACGACGACGAGTAGCTGATAATAGCTATCAACACTCCATCCCTGTCCTTTCTCTTCCCCCAGGGATCGCATTCGCCACGAATTCTAGACGATACCAAGGCGACCGACGGTTCCCCTCTCCCGCCACATTGAAGATCGGTGGCTGCGCCAGCCGAGGAGCCTGTTGTATGTCGGACGGCTTCATAAAACTGCGCCCAGTATGGCCACAGTGCTGACGGCCCGTCAAGCTGAAGAGCTGTATGTTCTATGTTCTCTCTGTCTCGTTCTAGAGATCCCCCCCCCCCCCATCCTCTAGGCTCTATCACTGCTTTGGGAAGAAGATGTACTGGCTTGCGTTATTCTGACTTGTCCAGACACAAATCCATCATTGCCTACCTTTCTGCAAACAATCTACCAAATGCCGCCGCATCTCTTCGCACAGAACTCAACCTAACCGAGGAGACCTTTGACTCGGCCACGTCAAAAAAGTATGAGTCGCTACTCGAGAAGAAGTGGACAAGTGTGGTGCGGTTGCAGAAAAAGGTACGTATGCCCTCCTCTCCCTCGCATGCCGGCGTCCTTCCTCTCTGCCTCTCATGGCATGCAGACGTCCCAACCTTTGCCCCCCACCTCTCTCTCTCTCTCTCTCTCTCTCTCTCTCTCTCCCTCTCTCCCTTTCTGTGCTGATACTGTACAATGGCAGATCATGGATCTCGAGTCCCGGAACGCGGCCCTCCAGTCGGAGATGGACAGCCTGACACCCTCCTCCCTGTCCAAGAAGAACAAGGACCCGGCCTCGTGGCTACCGCGACCGCCGCCCCGCCACGTGCTCGAGTCGCACCGCAACGCCGTCAACTGCGTGGCCTTCCACCCCGTCTTCTCGTCGGTGGCGACGGGGTCCGACGACTACACCATCAAGATCTGGGACTGGGAGGAGGGCGAGCTGGAGCGCACCATCAAGGGCCACACGCGGGCCGTGCTGGACGTGGACTTTGGCGGCCCCCGGGGGGGCACCCTCCTGGCCTCGTGCAGCTCCGACCTCAAGATCAAGCTGTGGGACCCGGCCAACGACTACCAGAACACCCGCACGCTGCCGGGGCACGACCACAGCGTCAGCGCCGTGCGCTTCATCCCCTCGTCGGGCAACCTGCTCGTCAGCGCCAGCCGCGACAGGACCCTCAAGATCTGGGACGTGACGACGGGGTACTGCGTGCGCACGCTCGAGGGCCACGCCGGGTGGGTGCGCGACGTGTCGCCCTCGTCCGACGGCCGATTCCTCTTCTCCACCGGCGACGACCAGACCGGCCGCCTGTGGGACATATCGTCCCAGACGCCCGAGACGAAGGCCACCATGATCGGCCACGAGCACTTCAACGAGTGCTGCGCCGTCGCGCCGCCCACGTCGTACCAGTACCTCGCACCGCTCGCCGGGCTCAAGAAGCCCCCCCCGGCCACGAGCGCCGCCGAGTTCATGGCCACCGGATCCCGCGACAAGACCATCAAGCTCTGGGACGCCCGCGGGTCGTGCCTCAAGACCCTGGCCGGCCACGACAACTGGGTCCGCGCCCTCGTCTTCCACCCCGGCGGGAAGTACCTCATCTCCGTGTCGGACGACAAGTCGGTGCGCTGCTGGGACCTCAGCCAGGAGGGCAAGTGCGTCAAGGTCATTGCCGACTCGCACGAGCACTTCATCGCCTCGGTCCGATGGGCCCCCTCCGTCTCCAGAGCCCCTGCCGTCACCGATGGGGCGACGAATGGGAACGGCATCAACGGCACACCGACCAAGGCGGCTGCTGCCGCCGCCGCCGCCGCCTCGGATGTTCAGATACGTTGCGTCATGGCGACGGTGGGGGTTGATAGTAAATTGAGGATATTTGCCAATTAGAAGGGGTTAGGAGAAGAAGAAGAAGAAGCCACACGCTATTTCTTTTTTTTTTTTTCTCTCTCTTCTTTTTTCTTCTTTTTTTTTTCTCTTCTTCTTTTAGCGTCATAAAAATCAAAACAGTTTTATATTCACGACTCCTCAAAAAAAAATCTATTCAATTTTTTTTTTCCCTCGCCTGTTGTTGTCCATAGTGTTCTTTCTCTTGTTTCTTTTGGGGATGAATCCTTGGAGGTATTCTCTTGATCTCTAATAGTGGGTGAAGTAATGATGGACCGACAAACGTGCATCATTCATGAATCACAATCATATGCAGACATCTACGGGCCAACAACTTGCAGCCTGACAGCAAACATGCACAGACATGCACAGACATGCCTTCCCGTAATTAGGACATGAGACGTGTCAGGCAGCTTCGTTGACGTGATGCCATGAGAGATGCATGTTTCCCGGCCATGCTCACCTGTATTCAAGATTACTCCTATAGGGTACCTCTTCTCTTACACGTGCCAATCAATACACAGTACACCGTACCGTATACTCATAATCCTCTCCGCATATTCGGGGCAATGTTTGGAGGGGAGCTGCAAGTGGGCTGAACCGATTTGGGTATAGTCTGGGGAGGGGCGCTTGTCAGCCTCGTCCCGCCTGGTGGGCAACAGTCTAGATGAGCTTGGAAGCAGATGGTTTCTGGTGGAAGGCTGCTGTTTGGGGATCTCCTTCCCTGCTCTAGATCTGCTCTTTCTGTGTGTTTTTCTTTCTTTCTTCCTTCTTAATAATCTTGGATGTCCTCTATCTTCTAGTGTCATGCAGCTGAATAGATTGGACTGTTCGACGTTCCTCTCTTATACGATACAGCGATTGAGTCAAAACGAGAGGTCCCTAACTGGCGGGCGGTGTGAGCAGCAGTTGGCGGCTCTTGTCGGTCGCCCGCCCGGCGACGGTTGGAGCACTCGTAGACGGTAGAAGGCTCTAGAACGATCGGACCAATCAAGAGGCGATCTGACCCCGACCGGCAGCAAAGACTGACCGGGCCCTCTCACTGTTCAGTGATGGCACGCCCCCCCCCAGGTCTATACAGGTATCCTACAGTGGAGAGCTGCCAACCTGGACCCCTGTAACCACCCGACCCCAGCACTTGTGCATCTGTAGCCCGCCCGGACTAGGCACTCTGGGTGACTGCCCGCATCTTCTCGAACACTTTGGGAGGGGCGAGTGGCAGAAAGAAGAAAAAGGCCGTAGAATCCCATGGAATCGTCGAGTCGACACCGCGCACCGCCAGAGGGGCACCGGGTTTTTTTTTTTAAGTAAACCACCATCTGCTTCCTTCCTTCCCTCTTTCTTCCCTTCCTCATCTTCACATCTCTGCATCTTCCCCTCTCCATCTCCATCAATTCTCATCCTCTCTTCAGACTACATACCCCTCCAGAGGTCTTTCAGAGATACCATCATCGGTTCTCTAGAACCTGCACCCTCGTCTATTCATCACGTCAAGGTAAGCCTGGCTGCCCTCACCGTCTCTGCCCCTACCCCGCGTTGCCTCAGCTCTGCTGCTTCTCCTCCCCGTCTCGTGCGTCGGCCCTCTCTGCATTTGTGCCGTCCGTTTGGGGATCTGCAAGATTGGCCAGCAGAAGAGACGTTGCCCCCCCCCCTCCCACCCCCCCGCTACCCCACCCGAGCCTCTTACAACGGTCAATGTTGCACTTTCAGTCAGGAAAAAGAAGAGGCGAGGCGGGCTGGAGAGGCAGAGACGACCGCCGAATGCAACGTGATCGAGATGGCGGGAAAAGCTGACTTGAACGAATAGATTTCTTAATTCTTTTCTTTTTACGAGTTTCCTTTTTGATACCCAGTCATCATGTCTGAGACTTTCGAGTTCCAGGCTGAGATCTCTCAGCTGCTCTCGCTCATCATCAACACGGTCTACTCCAACAAGGAGATCTTCCTCCGTGAGCTCGTGTCCAACTGCTCCGATGCTCTGGACAAGATCCGCTACAAGTCTCTCTCCGACCCCTCAGAGCTGGAGTCCAACAAGGACCTCCGCATCGACATCATCCCCGATGAGGTCAACAAGACGCTGACCATCCGGGACACGGGTATCGGCATGACCAAGGCCGACCTGGTCAACAACCTCGGTACCATTGCCCGCTCTGGTACCAAGCAGTTCATGGAGGCCCTCACTGCCGGTGCCGACGTCTCCATGATTGGTCAGTTCGGCGTCGGTTTCTACTCGGCCTACCTCGTCGCCGACCGCGTCACCGTCACGTCCAAGAACAACGACGACGAGCAGTACATCTGGGAGTCGTCTGCCGGTGGCACCTTCAGCATCTCCGCCGACACCGAGGGCGAGCAGCTCGGCCGCGGTACCGCCATCGTCCTCCACCTCAAGGATGAGCAGGCCGAGTACCTGAAGGAGTCCAAGATCAAGGAGGTCATCAAGAAGCACTCCGAGTTCATCTCGTATCCCATCTACCTCCACGTCACCAAGGAGACCGAGACCGAGGTCCCCGACGAGGACGCCGCCGAGGAGAAGACCGAGGAGGCTGACGACGACAAGAAGCCCAAGGTCGAGGAGGTCGATGATGACGAGGAGGAGAAGAAGCCCAAGACCAAGAAGGTCAAGGAGACCAAGGTCGAGGAGGAGGAGCTCAACAAGCAGAAGCCCATCTGGACCCGCAACCCCCAGGACATCTCCCAGGAGGAGTACGCCTCCTTCTACAAGTCCCTCAGCAACGACTGGGAGGACCACCTTGCTGTCAAGCACTTCTCCGTCGAGGGTCAGCTCGAGTTCCGCGCCATCCTCTACGTCCCCAAGCGTGCTCCCTTTGACCTGTTCGAGACCAAGAAGACGAAGAACAACATCAAGCTCTACGTCCGCCGCGTCTTCATCACCGACGACGCCACCGAGCTCATCCCCGAGTGGATGAGCTTCGTCAAGGGCGTCGTCGATTCCGAGGACCTTCCCCTCAACCTGTCGCGCGAGACCCTCCAGCAGAACAAGATCATGAAGGTCATCAAGAAGAACATTGTCAAGAAGGCCCTCGAGCTCTTCAACGAGATCGCCGAGGACAAGGAGCAGTTCGACAAGTTCTACAGCGCCTTCTCCAAGAACCTGAAGCTCGGCATCCACGAGGACACCCAGAACCGTGGCCTCCTGGCCAAGCTCCTGCGCTTCAACTCGACCAAGTCGGGCGACGAGCTCACGTCGCTCTCCGACTACGTCACCCGCATGCCGGAGCACCAGAAGAACATGTACTACATCACCGGCGAGTCCATCAAGGCCGTCTCCAAGTCTCCCTTCCTCGACGCCCTCAAGGAGAAGAACTTTGAGGTTCTGTTCCTCGTCGACCCCATTGACGAGTACGCCATGACCCAGCTCAAGGAGTTCGAGGGCAAGAAGCTCGTCGACATCACCAAGGACTTTGAGCTCGAGGAGTCGGACGAGGAGAAGAAGGCCCGCGAGGAGCAGGAGAAGGAGTACGAGGGTCTCTCCAAGTCGCTCAAGAACATACTCGGCGACAGCGTCGAGAAGGTTGTCGTCAGCTACAAGCTCGGCAACTCGCCCTGCGCCATCCGTACCGGCCAGTTCGGCTGGTCCGCCAACATGGAGCGCATCATGAAGGCCCAGGCCCTCCGCGACACTTCTATGAGCAGCTACATGTCGTCCAAGAAGACGTTTGAGATCTCGCCCAAGTCGCCCATCATCCAGGAGCTCAAGCGCAAGGTCGAGGCCGACGGCGAGAACGACCGCACCGTCAAGTCGATTGTCAAGCTGCTGTACGACACCTCGCTGCTCGTCTCCGGCTTCACCATTGACGAGCCCTCTGGCTTTGCCGACCGCATCCACAAGCTTGTCCAGCTCGGCCTCAACATTGAGGAGGACGACTCCGCCGCCCCCGCCGACGAGGCTGAGGCTGCCGACGTCACTGCCACGGCTACCGGCGACAGCGCTATGGAGGAGGTTGACTAAATTATCCGTCCTCTGTGGAATCTCGGGAGAACTCGAAGACCTCGGGATTCAAAAAATAATAAAAAAATAAGTCTCTAGAGACGAGTGCCCTCCCCGGCATCATGATTTTGTAACTTGAGACGAAGACGACAGAAAAGAGAGAGAGTTGCGTCGGAGTTTTAAAAGGAGGATCTGGCTTTGTGTTTTAAAAACATTATGGAAGTGCTGCTTTAATTACATGGCTCTGTTTTATTTGTCTCCATTCACATGCAAATACAAAGAATTTCATGACTTTGAGGTGTGAAGACGGACGGACAAGTGCGGTGTTTGTGTGTACGGAGTACGGGGTTTTGTTATTACTTGCAGTTTTCTCCAAGATGTGTAATTTCCCAACGTATGGTGTTGTGTACTTTGCAATTTTATGCGTGTACTTCCACATGTATGGTGTACTCTTGTCAATTTTATTTTTTATTTTTCTTGTACCATTTGGTAAATACAGATACGTCTCGGGAGTTTGTTCTTGTATTTTATTCTAGGCTTGTGTAGAGGGGCATGTATAATATATATATAGTCTGTATAGTATGATACTGTATATGTTTATACTGGCCTATTCCAACAGAGTAACTGTCAACAAGAAGGTCCTTGGGATGCTAAGAGTGGATTATAAAGATGGTACAAAAGTAAAAAAAATAAAAAATAAAATAAAGATGCAATAATATCTGTACAGTGGTGAATCTTCCCTTTCTCTATCTATCTAGATCCCGATGTTGGAGCATGTAATGTTACAAAGTAAAAGACAAAAAAAAATTTGTTACAAAGTGGGGGATAAGAACAAGATGTAGTATGCACAATAATGATCTCTCTGTGTGTGTGTGTTTGTGTTTATTCCCGAGGAATAAACATATGAGGAGAAAAGAAACGGACAAAAGAAAGAGAAAAACAAACCAAATGAGTTCTCATCTTTCCCAAGCATATGTGTGTATGCTCTTGTTATTGATATATTCTTGGTTTTTTTTTTTTTTTTTTTTTAAAAAAAAAAGGAAGACTGGATATTTCTCATGATTATGATCGAGTAGGGGAGGGGGGGGGAGGGTTATTTTTAAACGAGGACGTAGAGGGCGCAGATCTGTACTCTCGTGTTAGTATCGAGTTGGTATAGTTGTGTGTAGGGATATAAAAAGTAGGGGAGGGGAGGGGAGAGAGGTTGAAGTGGAAGAAGAGATGGAGGAAAATGTAAAGAAATAAAAAGCAATAGAAAACCAAAAAAGATGAAAAGGGAGAGAAAAACTCACCATGCTGAGACCCATTATCATGGAGATCCAGAAGAATACATTGTTCAACGTCTGCCTCCCCTTCACCCATCGGGTCCTCTGGATGAAGAAGATGGGAAGCTGGAGCATCTGGCAGACGAAGCCGTAACCTCGTATCTTCTTGGTGATGCAGGCCATGACGATCTCGTGGCCGACGGCGGAGATGAGGAAGGTGATGACGGTGGCCGTCTGCTTGCCGACGAGGGGCCTCGAGGCCGAGTAGACGTGCCTGCGCAGGAAGGAGTAGACGGGCACGTTCCACTCGCGCGAGAACTCCATCCAGTCGGTCGAGTTCCACCAGTCGGCGTAGAAGTGGCGGTCGGCGAAGCGGGTGATCTCGGCGAAGGCGCCGAGGACGTACTCGAATATGACGAGGAAGACGAGCAGGAAGGTGAGCATGAAGGGGAACAGCAGCCACGACACCGTCTCGGCCAGGATGAGGAGGCACTCGGACGGGGGGACCGAGGGGTGGAGGGGACCCGACGCCTCCGTACCCGCCGGGTGCAGCCGCGCGGCCGCGTCGGCCAGCACGGGCAGGATGAAGTCCTCCGACGTCATGGTCAGGAGGAAGATGCAGCCAAAGGTGGCCACCACCTTGGACGCGAGCGACGTCCAGTTGACCTCCTCCACGCGCGGGTACTCGAGCTCGTAGCACAGCGTAGGGCAGAGGAGGTAGTCGGCGTAGTTGGCCCAGCTGAGGTTGCGAGGGTACGTGACGTTGCCCATCGGCGACGTGAGCTCGCGCGCCAGATCCTCCCTGAGCATCTCGACCGCCTCATCCTGATCCTGATCCCGATCCTGATCCTCACGCCGCCGCCGCTGCTGCTGCTGCTGCTGCTGCTTCTCATCCTCCTGCTGGGTGGTGGTGGTGGTGGTGGTGGTGTCGTCCGGAGTTGCGGTGGCGGCGGCGGCGGCTACGTCGGTGGTGGGGCTGGGATAGAGGCGGGCCGGACGGCGGTTCTCCTTGGCCTCGTGGTCGTGGTCCAGGGCCTGGAGGTGCTTCTCGGTCTCGGACAGGTGGCCGTTGTAGAAGGCCCAGGAGTGCATCTTCATGAGGAGTACCATGGTGTGCAGCAGCAGGAAGACCTGGGCGGTCCAGGTCCACTCGAAGTAGAAGGGGGTGACGACCCAGACGGCGAACCAGGCGGCCTGGTAGACGCTCTGGAGGGCCATGGCGCCCCTGCGCCAGGTCATGGCGCCGTCGCGCGCGGCCGACCGGGCGAGGTGGTGGATGGGGATGCTGACGGCGGTGCTGGCCACCATCAGGGCGTCGGCGACGGCCAGGTGGCCGAGCTTGACGGTGAAGAGGGACCAGATGCCCATGCGCAGCGGGAACCCGTTGTCGCGCACGTTGCGCAGCATCGTCGTGATGCCCATGATGGCCAGACCGATCCAGAACAGGTTGAAGAAGCCGTGGAAGTCGCGGTAGTCCGAGGCCGGGTCAAAGTGCGACACGCGCGACGCGAACTCGGTCGTCGGGAAGATGCGCCGCCGCCGCTCCGCCCGCACCTGTCGCCGCGCCGATGACAGGGACTTGGCCGACGGCGGGGCGTTCTCCGGTACCGGTGTCGATCGCCCGCTCGTCACGCCGCTGGCCGTCGCCGTCCCGTTCTGGCTGTGAGCCTGGCCCAGACTCAGGTGGTCATGGCTGTCCAGAGATCCGAGGTGCAGGCTGGATGATGATGCCGCTCCCGTCGATGAGGTGGTCGTGTCGGTCTCGGTAGACGGCGAGAGGGCTGCCACGGTCGACTGTTGGGGTTTTCGTGGTCTCGGACGCAGGATGCCGTTGTCGACGTCGGCCGAGGTGCTCATGGTGAAAGGGGTTTGCGTGCGTGTGCGTGTGCGTGTGTGTTGTCTTCTGAAGCTGAGAGAGTAAGAATCTGGGTCGAGCCCACTCTTTTGACAGCCCCCCCCCAGAAGAAAGGGGTTGTACCTCTAAGGAGAAGAAGAAGAAGAAGAAGTCGTTTGTCTTGTCTGTTTGTTTGGGTGAGTTGGGGAGGGGGTGGGGAGGGGAGGGTTTTTGAAAGCGAGAGGGAGAAGTTGCGTGGCAAACAGGAGAGGAGTGCCGAGAAAGAAGCAGGAGCTTTGGAAGGCAAAAAGTGACAGTTTAGAAGCTCGGCCCCCCTTACGTCAGAGGTTGTGTACGTATTACCTGTCCGGGGGGGGGGGTTAGACTGATGGTACAGTTTAATAGGTCTATAGCCATCATGTCATGTATAGATGGCGTACTACTCCGTACTCTTCACATCCCGGCGTTCCGGTGGTCTTCCCACCAGAAAGTGTACGGAGTATCGATCTCGTGGTGTCCCCGATGTTCTCACAGTTTCCGTCAGGTGGCCAGCTCTTGGTTTTTATTTCTTTTCCTCCCCCTCTTACCGGTACGGGTATTATACGTATATTATACATGTAGGCATGTAGGTGTAGGTACTATCACCACGGACGCACCGTGCAAGATACGTATATGCGATATACGATACTCGTCACGTGGGGATCCACTCCTCTTTTATTACGGAACCCCCCCCCCCCCCCCCCGAAATCGTTATAACGAAGTATCAAAGTCATATCGTTATAGACCTATCTGACTGTAGTCCTAGCCGTAATACCGTACTATCAGTTACGGAGTATCAGCACGGTCGACGGTATCTTTTGAATTGATATCTGATTATCCAAGGCCATGTTCATACATGTTCAATCATCCATTCATTCCAATCCTATAATTCTACGTAATACGATGTAACACTATCGAATCCCGGTATGCAGGTACTCCGGTCGTATGTAATTTCGAGCCTCCTACCATTCGTCAATTCGTATGATTTTCCACCAGACACTACGGAGTGCTTGTATCAGATAATACACGTATCATCCCTCTACCTACTCCTATCCGTCCTGGTAATATTATGCTGCTTATATGATATGTGCTATATATATATATATTGTCCTGGTATCATCCCGTACATGTCATAGTCCTGTTGATTTAGGAATGCTGTAAGAATATCTCGTACATGGAATAAACTAATTTTTTTTTAAATATATATATGGATATAAAATTATATATATATACATATAACGCCAAGATGCTTGGATAATGTTGATGGCCAGAGAGAAAGATGGGATAGAACATCAGCGTCAACTCTCTCCCCCTACCTCTCAGCCCCAGAGGCGGAGGAGTGGGTGACTTCCTCTCCTCGCACGGAGGAGAAGCCTCATATCCCCATCATCACTGCCGTGCACGGTGAAACCCGTCACCGCCCCCCTCTGGCGCGGTCGGCTGACTGGCGTGCACCAGCCATCTCGGCCGGGATGGCCCAGGTCCAGGCTCTCTCCCGTGGCGTGCGCCTTCCTCTCCTCGTCGCGTCGCGTCGTGGTGCTCGTCGGCCTGGATGCCCCGGGTCGGTGAGATGCCATCCAGGTTCCCTCACCACATGGACGGTCTGCTACCGTAACCGGGACGGACAGGCGGAGAAGACGACGGGCGATCACGGCGGGAGGAGCTGGTGTAGCGTGGGGTGCGTCGGCTGCCGTCGGTCGCAGCAGCTCGGAGCGGTCGCAGCCGTGCGCGTCAGCGTGTGGATCCCCCGTGGATTCCACGGTCGGATCCCGCATCCCTCCGTCGAGGATGCCGGGGAGGGTCGAGGGGAAGGAGGGCAGGGAGCGGAGGAGTCCGCACCCATCGTTCCTTTTTTTTTGGGGGGGGGGGGTTGCGGGAATCGACCTGCGTCGTCTGCCCAGGCAGGTCCTTTTCCCCACGGTAGAGGAAACACCTCGTCCACGAGGTTGGTGGTGGGCCGCATTGTCCACCGTTCCGTCCTGCGTCTGACCCGTTGCGCGAGGCCCGCCGTCGGCAGGCCGCTGGCGCGTACACGACCCGGAACGTGCTGAAGCGTCTGCACTCCAGCTCGCACTCCAGCTCGAGGGGAACGTGGAGCCTCGTGCGCGTCGAGCACCACGCTTCTCGACCCGGTGGCGCGCCAGGAGCTTCGGCCGGATGAGCGACGACGACGGCGACGCCTTGGAGGGATGCGTCTGCGGCACATCGACGAGGCCCGGGCGGTGTCTCGCGGGTGGAGGGTAGCCAGGCGGTTCGATCCGCCCCGCCCCGCTCACAGACGGCCTTCACTTGTGCAGGTTTCTTTTTATCGTTTACCAAGTCTACGTCGGGCAGCTCACTGATCAGGGTTGGCTCCATCAGCTTTTTCAACGGTGCTTCATTTAGACTAACATCAAGATACATTTACGCCCTCCTCCCTTGCATTATTCACATATACCTCTTGGCTTCTTGTCGATAGTATCAATCTGCATCATCAGCCCGAGCTCAAGTCAACTTCAGCTACACTGTCCACTTCACAGCTCTTCAGTCATTCGACTACTCCAGATCCAGTATACACGATATATTCACATTTCATTATCATAAAACAAATAAATAAGTAGTCATCCAACCATCATCTGACGACAACGCCAATCTTCAATCTCTTCTCTCGTCTTTGTCCTTTCAGAAAAAAAGGAAGAAAAAAAACTCGTCACTGTAGCATAGTAGCAGTCAAAGCAAGAGCAGATGAGATCCTAAACCGAGCATAGGAAATCAAAGTAAATCAAAGCCGAAATGTGTGAAATCCCCAGTGGAAAGAAAAGCAAAGGGAAAAAGAAAAAAAGAAGAGAGAGAGAGAGAGAGATAGAGAGAGAAAGAAACCTCCAACCCAAACGCCTTATGAGGAAAAGACTGATGTGAGAAACACCTTCCATGCAACGCTCTCCTCTTCTCAGACCTCACGTCTCCATCCTCGTTGGCAGAAATCTGCAACGAGGTCTGGAAGAGTGATCAAGTCTCCAATAGAATGAAGAGAGCGATAGTAAAAGATATGAAAAAAGAAAAAAAAAACTAAAAACACATGAAGCGAGGGTTGAGAAACCAAGCTGGGAAATGAAGAAACGACAGAGAGAGAAATGAGGTGGAAAAAAAGAAGAAAAGAGGGAGAAGAGATCAAGCCCTAGTCGTAGGATACGCGGCTTCATACCGCGTATACGCCACGTCCCTGGGGGACAGAGGCTTAGACTGGCTGATGCTGGGAAACGGCGGCATCGGGCTGGTAGCGACGTGCATGTACGCCGGGCCGCTGTGCTCCCGGCCGTACGACCCGGGGCGGTGCGGCACGCTGTAGTACGTCGCGCTCTTCTTGCTGCTGGCGCTCGTGCTCAGCATCTCCGGGCCCATGCCCGCGGCCGACGCGCTGGCCCGCAACGAGGAAGACGACACCTTCTTGGTGCGCCCGTGCCCGACGTGGTACTGCGTCTGGGAACCCTCCTCGGGGGACCGGTTCTTGCGGCCGCTCCTGCCACTGCTGCCGTACTTGATGTTGGGCGTCGAGGCCGGGATGACGGTGGCGCCCGACGACCGACGGGCTCGGCTGGAGGCGCTGTACTCCAGCACGTCGTCCGAATCGTCGAGCGAGTCCTCCTCCACCACCTGCGGCTCCCTGCGCGACCTGTTACGGCCGCGGTTGGGCATCACGTCCGCCCCGCCCGCGGACTTGTAGTAGTGGTGGTCGTACGTCTGCGTGCGGCGCGGCGTCGGGATCGGACGCGTGTGCGAGCGCGGCAGGTCCGCCGGCGCCGGCATCGTGTGCGTCCTCGACAGGTGTGGCGGGGAGGAGCCCAGTCCCGGGCCGGGCCCCATATCGGCCGACGACGAGAAGCGAGGCGTGTGGCGCTGCGTCGGTGACACGTCGAAGATGATGGGCGGGCTTCCCCGGGACCCCCTGCGCGATGGCCGGTGCAGCGGCTCCCCCCGCGGTGTCGAGGGTGCCATCTCGGCGGCCGCCGCCGCGGCCGCGGCGGATCCGCGGCGCGGCATGGCCGAGGAGCGGCGCGGGTGGTCGTCGATTTCGGTGTCATCCGAGTCGGTGGAGTCGTCCAAGGCGATCGAGCCCGAATCGTCGTCCGAGTCGTCTTCATCGTCGCTCGGTCGAGAATACCCGCCATCCATGGGGGGCGGGGTGGGTGCCGTGGGTCGCGGGGGCGTGTTGTGGTGCGTGTAGGCCGGCTCGGCGGCCCTCTGCATCTGGGAGTAGATGTAGGCGTTGGCGTAGTCCCATTTGGAGGCCTGCACGGGCGCGCCGTAGGTGGCCGTGTACGGGGCTGCGGCGGGGGCGGCGGTCGGGTCGTCGTACTTCTTACTGCTCGACTTGCGCGAGGACGACGGCATCGTCTCCTCGTCGTACACGCCGCCCACATAGGCAGGTTCGCGGTCGCGGCGCTTCGACTCCTGCTCGCGCTTGTGGTCCTTGGACCGCTGCTTCTCCTTGGAGCGCTTCTCCTCCTTCTTCTGGGCCCTGCGTAGGTCCTTGGCCTCGCGCTCCTTCTGGAGCCGGCGCTTCTCTCTCTCCCTCTCCCTGTCCTTCTCCTTCTCCTTCTCGCGTTCCCTCTCGACCTCGCGCTTCGAGGGCTTGTCGTGATACGTCTTCTCGCGGCGGGGCGGGCGGGCGTCGGCCTTCGCGCCGGCGTCGTAGTAGCGCGACGACGACGCCCTGGTCGTGGAGGCGCCCTCATCCCACGACCGCGCCGAGAAGCCGGCGCCGGCCGCGGAGCTGCTCTGGGTTGTGAAGATCCTGACGCCGGGGGGGGCGCCGGGGGGGGCGCCGGTGCTGTTGTACGATGAAGGGCGGGGCTCGGCGGTGCGGATCTCGACGTCGGGGTAGGCGTTGCTGGCGGCGGCGGCGGCGGCCGGGGACGAGCGGGGGGCCGACATGTTGGCCTTGGTCTCGCGCTGCAGCCTCCGGAGCTCGGCCAGCCTCAGCTGGTCGTCGTACTTCTGGCGCTTGGCGTCGTCGGTCAGGATCTCGTAGGCCTGCTGGACCCGCTGGAACTCGTCCTGCTTCTTGGCCTTGAGTTCCGGGTCCTGCACCTTGTCAGGGTGGCACTTGAGAACGAGCTTGCGGTGGGCGGAGCGGATCTCGGCAACCTGGGCGTCCCTGGAGACGCCCAAGGCTGCGTAGGGATCCATGGGCGGAGAACTCATATCGACGGGGCGGCCGGCGCTGTGAATCGAGGTATAGGTTTCGAGGCCGTCGACGGCATACAGAGGAGAGTGAAGGGGGTATGATGGGGATAAGATGGAATGAAATGAAGAGAAGAAAAAAAAAAGGCGAGACAAGTAGAAGAGAAGGAGTGGGAAGTTCGGTGACGTGCTCTAGATTTGTAGAGCGATGACTGGTAGTGGCATCTATAGCCACTGGAAGGAGCGGTGACTGTGGTGTTGTTTCGTGTGGTTGTTTTGCACACGGGTCTGGATTAGGTTGTTTGTTGGATGTCCAAGTGTCGGTCTCAAGATGCAGATGTCGGAAAAAGAGAAGCTGACTGTATGCGAAGAGAGCAAAAGGAGAAGAGAGAAGGGAAAGAAAAAAAAGAAGAAAGAAGAAACTGTTGCAGATGACGACGGAATATAGACAGAACGACTTATTCTCGAGTCTTTCCTTAGAAGGTGGAAGAGAAGGAGAGAAGAAAAAAAAAAGTGAGACGGGATGACGAAGAAAGACGGCTATGCAAGACACGAACAAGGAAGAGAGGCTCCGGCAGGACCGTGTGGAACAGTATGGAAAGATGGGGGAAGGCGTAGAAGGAGGATAAGAATGAGAGAGAAGGGGAGGCGAAGTTTGATTTCAAATGAAGAAATCAATGCAATGACTGGCGATGCTGGTAAACTTGACAGTTTTTCTCTTCCCACTCGAGCCCTTGTAGCTGTTGGTCTGGGGAGGGAGGGGGGAAGGGTCTTGGTTGGGAGGATGAGGGGCGAAGTTGGTGGTGGTGGAGAGGGTAGACATGTCGGGGCTGGCGAGGTTTATTACTGAGCCCGTCGACAGAGTGTCAGAGAGAAGGAGACGGAGGGAGAGAGTAACTTGCCGTGTACATCGTACAGAGTACGGAGTACATGGAGAGAGGCGAGCGAGTGGAGGAGTCCGGTTTGTACGTGAGCACGGGAGTGGTGGGTGGCGGGTCTCGACAGTGAAGCTGGTAGGTACAAGTAGAGACCGGACAAGACAGGGGTCGCTGAGTCTATGGGGGGGGGGGGGAGGAGGGGGAAGGGGATGGAAGGGGATAGGGAGTTTGTGAGATAGCGGTCTGTGTACCCTATACCTGTACCTCGTGACCTTACGGGGTAGGCACAGGCAGGCAAGACAGGCAGCGAAGGTTGTATCGAGTACGCGACCCAGTAACCGACAGGGCAATGTCCGTCATCAGTGAGGCACGTCTAGGTGTGGGTGAGCCCCATGGGTGTGGGTGAGGCACCGAGGCCGGTTGGATGGGTATCGGGACTCTCTTGACGGGAGCCTTGCTCTCTTTTGGAATCGCTGCCGCAGGTCTTGGGTGTGGATACCTCGCCCTTTACCTGTGGGCTGTGGCACAGCTCAGTGGTCCGGCGTAGTACTCGTACGTCGTCGTCGTCCCAGTCGGAGCCGCCAGTCGGGGGGGGGGGGGGGAGTCTAAGCTCTTAGCCACTCATGCCTACTCGTACTCCCTCTCTCTCCCTCCTGGCGTGCGGATAGTGCGCATAGCTGTCCGTCCGTGGCTGCTATTGCTGTGGTGGTGGCGGAAGCGGCACGTGTACGGGTACCAGTCGTTGCCGATTCTGCGTGAAATATACCACACCCACTCAGATGAATCTGGAGAGTGCTTGTGACTACTGTTACAGTATGAGCAATATTACTTCCAGTCAACAATGTACTGTGCTCGTAGTAATACGAGTAGATAGCCAACAATACTGCGAATAATAAGAGATGGTACCTTTTTTTCTTCTTTTTTTTCGTCTTTCTTTTGTTTCTACATATGACAATACCCGTACACTGTACTGTCCCAACCATGTCCTCTCAATCTGCGAATCGTGACGTCGTAAGACCGTCGTGGAACAAGGACAGCCGTTCGTGGGGATGATCATGATCAATTGCCTGTCATCATCCACGCCTTCTAAGCACCCTGATCGAGATTAGCCCTTTTCTTTTATATATATATATGTATATGTATATATGAGGGAAGGGGGGGGATAAAAAGAGTCAGCCGAGCAAGCGAAGAAGGAAGCGAAAGGAAGATGGCGCAGCAGCAACCGAGTCTGTTTTGCAGTCTGTATGTACAGCGGGTAGTTGGAATACTCCATAGTAGTACGAGTACGAGTACTGCGAGATGCGCGCGCTGGTGGCGGCGTGGGGACCTGAGGCGATGAGGATACGTCGAGGGTACATATTGGACGTGAGTCATTCACACCCTGACAATATGTATCCCTGCAGTATTCCGTATATTCTCCCCTACCTTGGTACGACTATCACCTATATCTCATATCTCTCTTACTACCTAGCACACACAGTATTATCGCTACGAGTACGGCGGGTAGGTACTCGTAGACGGATAATCACTGGACGCACCTGAGAGTGAGAGAGAGAGGGGGGGGCGCGGCGTCGGAAAAGAAGCGGGGGCGAGAGTGCGATTGATTGCCGATGGGACCTGGGACCTGAACCTGACCTGGCCTGACCCCGTGGTTGTCCGACGAGCGTCAAGTCATCAGCCTACGTGTGTGTGGGGAGCTTCCAGCTCACGCGAGGGTGATAGAGAGAGTAAGAGCGCCGAATGGGTCGACTTGACTATCGAGGGGCATACGAGTAGATTCCAGCACGCACACGGAGCAGCCAGAATAGCATCAGACGTCAGCTAGTGGCGGCTGTGACAGCATCGTGGCGGATATGCCCGAGCCTAGCCTCGGACCGTTTTTTTGTTCTTGTTTTTTTAATTCTTTTTTTCATGTTTCAATGCTACGGATGCTCTACTCGTAATACTGATGAGGTTGTCGTACGAGAGAGAGACAATGAGCTTTTGGCCGCATCCAGCTGGTGGCAATGGCCTGTGTGATGACTGCCATAGTAATCTGCATTAGTCATAGCACTATAAGTAATATATGCCTTCTCGTATGTATTAATAATACCAGGTACACGTCAATGTGTCCATGCTCTCTCAGACTAGACGCAACAGTCAACAAACCAGGGGGATCATTGTCCCAGCGACCATCACACGAAAATATAATGTAAGAAAAATGTAAAGAGTAAATAAATAAATAGAGGAAGGAAGGAAGGAAGAGCACGTAGAATCCAGGGAAGAAAAAGATGGCAGCGGGGTATCGTGGGAGCCACAGGTAGACGGACGTTTGTATGGTAATAATACGACTCGGAGGGACAAGCGGTGAGGGTTGCCGTAGTGCATCTCCATACTCTGGTACCTTTTTTTTTATCTACTCCGTACTCGTCGTCGTTTTTACGAGTACTGCTGTACGATCATCGCTGCGAGTTTGTTCTTGTCAGGTATCTACTACTAGCAGACATCATCATCAGTCATGGTCATAAGCGGTTGCCTTCACAACGCGCCCCCTTCCCCCCCCCCGGCGCGCGCGCCGTTGTTACTCGCGTATCTCCTAGCTGTATCGTAGGTTATAATACTCGCATGCCACGTCCCAGGATGTATAGCATTCAAGCCCGGGCATGCTGGGAACGCCGAAGCACCCTACGACCAACTGGATGATGCCCCGACAAATCCCCCGCATACATACATGGGACCTAGGCCCTCAGCGGGTCACCTGGCGGTCCAAGAAAGAAAGAAAGAGAGGGCTTCTTGGAAGCCTCATGCTGAGGGGTCCCCCCTACCCCTCAGGGCGTACGGTGTGGAAGGATCGAGGGGTCAAGTCTGGAGGAGTAAACAAACCGTCGTAGTTGCAGCAACGAGGCAGACTGACCTCCTTCTACATGCAATAACACTCTGCAGCATCACCCTTACCGGAAGTGTCAGGTAGAGACGAAGCATATTCTCGCGCTACCGTTCTCTCCTTTAGGGCGGGTGAATTGCCATGATACTCAACAAGTGAACGGTGAGAGATACCCTCCAAGGCTGACACACACACATCACCCAATCAGCAACGAAGACGTGATGCGCCGCCCTGACATGTCCGCATCACACGGACAGATGAAGGGCAACCACTCGTCACGAGAGGGAGAGGGATCATCTACTAGGTAACATGTCGTAACTTGCTGTCGTGTACAGACTACTCCGTACCGGCAATACAGCTGAGATTCTCGTTACGTGTGTGGGGTGGGGTGGGGGGGGACACCAAAGGGCCAAGCGACCCATGATGCAACCACGTAACTTGTACTCTCTCGTACAAAACCACGCGAACAGCCCACAGTAAAACACACACACACACACACACACACACACACGCACGCACGCACGCACGCACGCGCAATGCCGTCACCCCCATATGTACATGCATCTATCTGTCTCTATCTGTCTCTCTCTCTCTCTCTATCTATCCCCTTGGATGACCTGACCTGGCTTGACCAAAGACCAAAGGGGTGACCCGACCCTCTAGCTTAGTGCTCCATATGGCTCCGCGACCAACCGGTACGAGTGACAATCTCCAATCGTGTTCCCACTCAGCCGCCGCAGGGGGCCAGTCGTGTGTTCAATCACACTGCATCCTTTTGTTTTTGGAGGGTTTTTTCTTTGATCTATTCGCGTTTTATTTATTTTTTGTTCCTTTCGTAGGGACGCTACGGAATCATGTCTGTACGAGACGAGAATGTACTTGATTTCAGTCCCACCACAAACACGTATGACAGGTCTCGTGTGTGTGTGTGTGTGTGTGTGTGTGATGGAAGGAAAAAAAGAAAGAGAGAGTGTGTGTGCGCTTACTCTGTGTGTGAGAGATTCGCTTCATTCATTCATTTTTTTTCTTACCTCTTCTCTTCTGCAGCCTTACTTGAGTTTTGAGTTGCCTCTCTTCTTCCTCTTCTTTTTGAATCATCATGAGGGGTAGAGGGGAAGGAAGAATAGAGAGAGAGAGAGAGAGAGAGAGAGAGACGGAAAGAGGGGTGGAGGGAGGGGAGAAAGAGGGGGGGCCCATTCTCTCGAGTCATCTTGGCGAATGGGCCTCTCTGTTGCCCCCCCCCCCCCCCCCCCCCCCCCCCTTCCCTTCGCCTGGGCCAAGGAAGAGCAAGAGAGGATACATGCGAGTATAGTGTGAAGAAGAAAGAGAGGAGAGGTCCCATCTGTAGGTCACGACGCTTCTCTCTACCATGTTTTGGTGCTGCATGACACCCTTTTTGGAGGGAGTGGGGGATTTCAGTACTTTTTCACTCGTACTAATATTACTACTACTGCAGCACTACTACAGCACTACTACTACTACAGCACTACTGCTACTACAGCACTACTACTACTACTACCAACTACTACCACTACTGCTGCTGCTGCTGCTGCCATCACTAGAGCATCGATCTGCCGAGTATATCGCTCGTCGTACTAGTAGAAAACGGGACAAGAAGCTGCTGGTATCAGATCGCTGCGTTATAATCATTCTGTCTGACTAGGCGGGGGAGGGGGGGACGGTTTACTAACCACTAGGTACGGATAGACATTGATCCATCCTTTCTACCAAGTACCCGAAGAGGGGATCACGGCCGATTGAGTTATTAATATCATTTCCTTCTTACGAGTATGATGACTTCTGTATGATGCATATCGTTATATGCTACCTACGGGTAAGAAAGACCTGCCTGCCGCTCCTGCCCACATGTACATGACACGGCCCATTATGATACTTGATGCATCAGCCCCTACGTACTCCGTGTACGGAGTACGTAGGGGCTGATGCATCAAGGAGACACGGGGATAGGCGTCTGCAAGTACGAGTAGAGAGGAAGGAAGAGATGCATTACGCTCTGGAAGAAGAAGAAGAAGAAGAAGAAGAAGAAGAAGAAATGACAGAAAGAGAAGCAGTAGGGAAGACGAGACTGCCGCCAGGCAAATCATCCACCGTAGCAGCCCAACCATGTTGAAACCCAGATCAGAAATGGGGGAGGGGGGAAGAGAGAAAGCCTTTCCTCTGCATGCATCTGGCGAATCATCTGTCAGTCTCGAGTCTGGCGGTCTGGCATCGAATTGGTTTCTGGGGCATTTTTTTCTCCTATATGAATAACCTGGACGAATAATACCATCATTCTGTCATTCTGCTTCTATCCGATTCTGTCTTTTTCCTTATTCGAAGCAAAGCCAGGTTTTACCTGTACGTTTCTTTCGAAGCAGGGTCGAATTTACAGACGACGGCGGGGGGGGGGGGTTTCAAAGGTCAAAGGTAGAACGAAGTCTTCTTCTGTGCATCATCATCCCTCCTCATCCTCCTTCTCCTCCTTATCAGTATCTGATGTCGGCAACGTGGCCATGATGGTCTGTAATTCGATGCCAATATCTGTGAATTGGATAACACGACAACGTCTGAGTACTCTTCGAAACAAAAGAAACGAAGAGGGTGAGAGTGTTTGTCTGGACAATCTTGCACTTGTCTTCTGGTTCGCTGGGCACAGCAAGAAACAAGAAAGGTAGAAAGTGTCAAAGCCCTCATGTCCAATTATTCCCCTCCCCCCCCCCCCCGGCGGAGTACAGAGGCATGACTGCAGGGTAGGCTGGAGATGCACCAAGCATCCACCACGTCCATGTACATGTACCATGCACGGAGTAGTAGGTTTGAAGACAAGAATGCATATCCATGTCGTGCAATTGGACGAGCTGTCCAGTATTGGGTATCAATTATATCATCTTTAGGGTCATCATTCCCGACCGCCCTCCCATCTTGGCATGATGGGTGCAGGTGAGGAGAAGAGGAGAGAGGCATAAGAATCAGGCTGTCGACGCCTGTTCATCGGGCACGTCTTCCTCCCACACGGGCAGCTCGACGTCCACGACGATGGGCTTGTTGAGCTGCTTCCCGCCAATGTGAGGATAGTCCGTCCCGACGATGGCTGCGTTGACGATGCACGTCTCTTTCCTTTCCCGGTAGGCAGCAGCAGAGGCAGCAGCAGCACCGCTCCCACTGCCAAAGGCGCTGGCGGCCTTGCTGGCCAGTGCTGCTGCTGCTGCAGCACCGCCCCTCCGACCTGTGAGGTCGACGAGGCTCATCTTGCTACTGGTGGCTTCGGGGCTCGGGTCCTCCCAGGGCGTGACGACGACGGCGTCTCTCGCCTCGTCACCACCCCCAGAGTCCGGCGCTGCTGGCCACGATACCCGCTGGGCGCCCCTCCCACCGTGAACGTGTCCGCACACGGAGAGGATGGGACGTACCCGTGCCAGCCGACGGCGGAGAGCCTCGCAGCCTGCACCGGTGACGGCGCCGGCCCTGTCATCTAGATGACCACGGGGGGGAGTGTGCGTGACGACAATATCTGCCGTCGACGGGATGGACTCCCACAGCCTAGTTGCCGACGGCTCATGCTGGCGCTGCTCCGGCGGCGGCGATGCTTCATGCGATGACAACTCAGCAGTGGTGGTATCCCTGTCATATGAGAAGCCCCAGAGCCCACATCGAGGCGAATAGGGCGAGCCGAAGATGCGAAACGTCGTGCGTGGTCCGGACGGAGACGTCAGGCGGACGGTCGTGGCCTCGTGATTCAGGTAAGTGATGGACTTGGATGACGTGAACAGTGAAAGGCAGTCTGCGTGGGAGTGAGGTGTTGTCCTCCGGTCACCGTGGAGGCGCTGGTCGTGCTTGGCGTGAAAGGTAGGATCAAGGCTCATGTCGTGGTTTCCTGTTTCATTGTCAGGTTCACGTCGTAGTCAAGTGATGAATACGAGTATAGATGTGAATAGGAATGTGGACATGCATATATGTACGGAATAGAGAGAGGGGGGAGAGAGGGGCAGCGGTGTAATGTGAATACCGGCTACGACAATTTTGGCTTCAAACTTGGTGTGGTCCAGCCACTTCACAGCCCGAGATAGCTTTGGAACCAATATCAGCTGAGAAAGACGAAAAGAAAAAAAGAAAAAAAAAAACCGGACAAAGAACAGCGAGAGAGAGAGAGAGAGAGAGAGAGAGAGAGTAGTACCTCGGGAAAGCTGCCTTGGTTTGTGAGATCGCCAGCGTGAATGAGGACGTCACCAGGTGGTAGTCTGACCGTGGAATTGTGCGTGTCTGATATGCAGACTATGCGAGTGCGACGGGTATGACCCGCAGTCATGGTCGCAGGCACAATCGGCTCCGTCGGTCTCCCCTCTCCTGGCGAATATTCTCTGCTCGTACGAGGCGATTTCTTGGTGAAGGTTGATGCACACGGAATACCTGCTGGTAATGTACGAGCATGGAAAGCAGAAAGAGGCCGAGAAAGTTGTAGCTCGTCGACATCGATGATGACATGTGAGTGCCTGATGTACTTTACGTGCGCGACGTAATTCATCGGTCTATCGAGGGGGGGACTCCACGCAGCACAGCAACTCCACCAGGCAGAAAGCGCGAACGCGCTAAAATCGTCGGTCATCCCCGGACCCCATGGTTGGCCATCCCCATGGATTCTATCTTCTTCCTCTTCTTTCATCTTTTGATTTTTTTCATCTTTTTTTCACCCTTGCTTGACACCTGACGGCTGGTATCAATATCAACACTCGTCTGTCAGAAAGTGTCAGCTGCATCCGTGGTGCCGGCAAGCATTCGATACTTGCACGCTTCCCATTTGGCCGTATCACACACAGGCCGGGGTCGGTGGCACCTCAAATTTAAGACGACAGGGATGGTTTTTAATTTTTTTTTTTTTATCTTTGCAATGGAAACTTTTCTCGCAATAGTCTCTAGTCTCTCAGATAGTAATACCTGTACAGGTAGGTAATGAGTATAATCTGTGCAGATTACAGTATACTCAGCCAGCCAGTCGTACCATGTACGTGCACACACACACCACACACGGCACACGTATGTAGGTGATACAATGTCCCATCACACCTGTCTGCGAACCGTGGAACATGCGGCACAGCGACTTATCACGTCTCGCCTTTCTGTGTCGCCCTGTCTGTCTGTCCCTCCGCCCGTAGTCTCTCGTCGGTGCTGAGTCCCCGTGTCTCTGTCTGGCTCACTGATTTCGCATCGACTGGGATCTTCGGGACAGGGCAGAGACCAAGAGGGATGGCAATCTCGGCGGCGCGACGGGGGGGGGGGGGGGGGGGATTTGGTCTGGTTCGGGACGGATGGCCCAGCATGGGTTGACCGAGGAGAGAGAACCCCCCGGTCAGCCTGTCCCCTGCACTCCGTATGATTATGTCTGTAGATGCGTAAAGATGGAGAGATACTACTCGTACGCTGAGGACGATGGAGATTACCAGTGCTTCGCATCTCGATGGAAGCACACATGTACGGTATCGATAATACTCGTAGACGTTACGAGTGTCTGAGACGAACGCGTCGACTCCATGTACGGAGTACGGATACGAGTAACGGCGATGGCTGGCACGAAACATACAGCATACATGTCTGGACTGTGCGGTACGTCGTACCAACATGCTCGCTTTCCCCCCCCCCCTGGACCGTCGAACCATGCTTGTATTGTGACCTGTGTTGCATCTGATGGAGACGTCATGGTCGCGTCGACAATGGTGTGTACGCCTCCCGTCGTATATTCTGTATGTGCTGTTCCGCTACCGACTGATCTGTACAGATCAGTGACCCATCAGCCATCCGGTCAGCTCTAGTCGTATCCGTGGTAGGAGAGAGAGTACGGAGTACCCCGTCTAGATGGCGTGAACACTATTGCGGCACTCCCATGGGCCCAGTCGCTCATTATGGCTTCATAGGTTGAATATATGAAGTGGGGAGTCTTAATACTGGAGGCCTGATCCTACAAAGGTTGTGGTATTGACATGATTAAGAAGAAGAAAAGGCTGGAGATGCCCACCGAAAAATAAGGCAGGGGCGGAGGGTTCAGTCTGCCAGTGTTGATCCTGCATCGCACAGTCAGCGACGGTGCTGCAGAGCATCACAGGTACAGCCACAGGTACGAGCCACTTCCTTGAACATGTCTACGATTACATTGCATAATAGTGTGGTGATACACTGTTGGCTGTCGGCTGTGCGGGAGCACAGGACAGGGTATCGGCTACGAGGAGTTCTCGTAGACAGTGGTCAGCCTGGACTGTGTAGCAACATTGTAAGACAGTACAGGTAGGTAGTCATGCTCGTCGAGAGGATGATATATATACATATATATATATATATTGCTGCACAGATTACATATATACACACACACACACGCACATATATATATCGTATATACGATAATACTGCGAGTACGTGTAGCAATATCGATACTGCGTAATCTGTACCTCTGTACATATTATATTGATGCATGCACAATTACAATCCATACCTGCGAGCTGCGATCTGACGCTTGGCCGATGCGTAGGCCCCACCCGCCACCCTCTGACCTCTACGAGTACCTGTATACGAGTAGACTGACGGGTACGGCACTCCCGCACTATTTCTCGCAGTCGTACCGTAGTGGTGTTCGGTGGACTCCGCGCTGCGACGGTGGTGGGAGCATCCTATGAGTCCCTGTACCGTGCTGCCGAGTACAGATTAGCATTGCTACGGATATGGGCAGCAGCACTGGAGCTCTACGAGCACTCGTATTACTGTCCATGGGTACCGGGACGTCCTGTCGCACGGCTAGCTGCTAGTGTCGCCACAGCCAAGTCACCACCGTCCACGCTAACCCGCTAAACCCAGCGCTGTAGGTATCACTAGAGAGTGGCCTGTAGCGTGGCTCGGCCCACGGAATACCAATACCAGCCTCCCTCTATCGTCTCTTCGGGGTTCCTTCCAATGTCATTTTACAGTCTCCTCTTCTACGTTCTCCTTCTGCAAATTACACCACTACGGCTACTACTACGCAGTAATATTGCAATCCCCCCCCCCTCTCTCTCTCTCTCCCGTCTCTTTTTTTTTTTTTTCTTCTTCCCTCTCGTCTTTTCCCTCATCTGTGTCGACCGTGCATACTCGTACAGACGATTGCCGTACAATCCAGAGAAAAAGGTACCATAACGGCATTTTCGTTATACAGCAAACACCCGTCTGCTTCTTCTGGTCGCCTGCGCCTGCCGTACGCTTTGAGCCTCCTCCCCCCCTCTTCTCTCCTTCACACCCCTGACGAGAGGAACGACCACCAACCAAGACCCCGGTCACCAATCCTCGCGCGCAGCCTTCACTCCTTTTTTCCTTCCTGCTCTCCTCTCCCTCTCTCTCCCTGCTCGAGAGAACGCGTCTGATCGGGAGCCCTTTTTCACGGCAATGTCGCCTCGAGGAACCTCTTCTTTCTAGAAACCATCCCACCAAAAATTCGACGGTGCCGTCTCTCTACAGACGCTGGCGGACTGGGTTGAGGCACACAATCACACACTCGCTTCTTTTCTTTCCTTTATCCTTTCTGCTTTCTTCCTCTCCTCGTATTGCACGTTAATCTCTCGCTACCCTCGACTCTCCCCCGCCGCTCGCTTCTCTCGTCTTTCCCGTTCTTCTTCTCGGCTCAGCCTCCGTCCGTCATAACCTCGACGTGTCCACCATACCCTCTGCCTCCCAAGGGGCTGCGGGCGCCCCGATATCGCGGACTGCTTCGCCATGGCTGCCGTCTCGTCGGCCCACGCCACGGCAACAAGCAGCAGTACCCTGACCCCTCCGAGCAGCAGCCTCGCCCACGATACGCTCTGGGACGACGCCGTAAATGGCCATGCAGACGTGAGAATCGCCCCCGACATGTCTTCCGAGCCGCCGTCCAGCCCATCGGGGATCCCACCCTTACTCTCCGGGCCATTCGCTAACATTACCGGCCCTGTAGAACCAGCTCGACGACGATTCGCACGCCGAGGACGATGGCCAGGACTCCATACGCTCACCTGCCGGTGCTGGCCCCTCAACCGGCGGCGCCCAGGTGGCCACGCGGAGGATGAGGTCGGCGGACAACCTCGCGCAAGAAAGCTGGGACGACTCCGGCGCTGTCGAGGCCGAGGATGGCACCCTGATTCCCGCCTACGCCCCCGATTCCCGCAGCAACGACTCGTGGCGCTCCCAGAGCCCCAGCAAGTCTCGCGACCGCCATGACAGCAACTACGTCCTCCGGGAACCCTCGGGCGAAGACGGCAACGACAGCAACGACTCCAAATGGATCCACCGCGACAAGCTCGCCAAGATCGAGAGCCAGGAGCTCCAGGCCGCCGGCATCTACATCCCCCGCTCCAGGGCCCCCAGCAAGCAGAGGAGCCGTAGCTCCGCCCGCCGCGGCACCAACGGCACCGACGCCTCGGAGCAGCCGAGACGCAGCCGTTCGCGCAAGAGCTCGTCGGCCGTCGAGCAGCGCCACGTGCCCCCCGACATCGCCATCCCCAGCTGGGACCTTAGGACGCCCGAGGAGATCGCCGAGGAGGAGGCCAGCGCCTACTTCACCACCAACGGCCTCAGGGGCGGCTCCAGGATCCCCGTCGCAAAGACGAGCCCGGCCCCCATCCCGGTCGACTACCTCGAGAGGGGTTCGCCCTCGACGCGCAAGTACAGCGAGAGCCCCGAGAGCGACTCGATGATGCACGGTCCCTCGCGGTCTGGTAGCACCAGCGGCAGCCTGTACGAGAAGCCGCCGCCCGGCATGGCCAAGCGGTCCCAGGACGCATCGCCCAGGAAGCCGACGAGCCGCAAGACGTCGACCGCCACCAAGAACAGCAGCAGCCAGGCGAGGCCCAAGACCCGCTCCAGCAGCGGCACGGGGACCCGACCGTCGACGCGCTCGGGCGAGCCGGCCAACATGAAGCCGCCCGAGGGAGACCCGCCGTGGCTGGTCAACGCCTACAAGCCGGACCCGCGCCTGCCGCCGGATCAGCAGCTCCTGCCGACGGTCGCGCGCCGGCTCCAGCAGGAGCAGTGGGAGAAGAACGGCACGCACGGGGACACGTACGACAAGGAGTTCCGTCCGCTCAACGATCGGGACCTCGCACGACCGGCCGGGGCCGACAAGACGGCGGACAAGGAGGACAGGGAGGACAAGGAGGACAAGGAGAAGCAGGACGACACACTGTCGCCGCCGGGGCAGGAATGGCCCCTCCGACCGGACGGGGCCGCCAAGAGCCAGGTTCCCCGGCCGGGATCGTACTCGACCATGCCCAAGATCTCGGACAAGCCGGCGGCGGCGAGCAGTCCTCTGGTGACGAGCCCCAACCCCATGCAGTCGTCGGGTGGCATGTTCCAGGCCTCGATCGAGCCTCAGTCCCCGGCTGCCCAGAGGGTGCCGGATGAGAAGGAGGATGACGCCAAGGGCGGCTGCGGATGCTGTGTTGTCATGTGATCCTACAAAATCCACTCACCATTCTGATGTCGATCCATTCTCGGCATCCAAGCCCATCCGCCAATCTTGTACCGAAGCATCCTCTCTACTCATGCCACCCTGCCCTTCTTTCTCGACTCCTTTCCTCTCTTCTCCGTCCTAAACGTTGAAACATTTCCACCCTCCGAGAGAGGAAGCAGGATGAGGTACCCTAACCTGCTCGACAGGCGACGACCCTCTCTGCTCATCAGCCTTGCTGCTTCCCCCCTCCCCATTCTTCTCACTCTTTTCAATTAACGACGTTACGACTTTTACATAGCTTACCACCCACTCCCTCCCTCCCTTGTGTTATAAAACCATATATACCACCTAGCGACCGACCGCTGTTCCTGGCCTTTTTTTTCCTTCTTCAAAAACCCTCGTCTTTTTCTACTTTTTATATCCTCCTTTCCGCCGCCCTACGCTCATCCTGACCCATACACTCGTTTTCTTTGTCCTTGACTCGACTGGGCTGGAAGCATGGTTCTCCTCGGTATGGCGTTATCGAGGTTTTTTTCTTCTTCTCTTCTTTTCTTGCCTCGCTATTGGTTTCCTCCCCCCCCCTTAAATCAAGGAGTCTTCTTGTTTTCCCTGTTCCTTGCTCTTTCATCACATTTACTTTCTTCCTTTTACTTACCGTTCATTCCTTTTCTATTGTTTCATTGTACTTCTCGCCCCCCCCATTGTTTTTAAAGTCTTTTTTAACCCATTTTATAGCGCATATTCATAATGTCGAGATTACCCATTTTTTTTCCAACCCTGCTGCGAGCGAAGTGAGCTGGAGATTACGTTGACGTACAACCGCGAGCGTAGCGAGTTTAGTAGCTCTCCTATCCTATAGGAGGATTCTATAAAGAAAAGACTTTATTCCAGAATTAGCCCATGGATAATATTAATTCAGTGGTTCGTGTGGACGTAGCGAGGAGAACTCTCGGTAGGGCCGCCAGAGGCATAATGACGAGTGGCCGCGACGGTAGTGTCGACAGTGGACGATGTGCTTTTTTCTGTTTTTTATTTGTTTTTTTATTTTGATTCTTTTTTTTTTTAAAAAAAAAAGAAGGCTGGATTGAATGCTACGTATGGAGCTATACATGTCCGACAAGATGTAGCCGACACCTACTTCTTATCATCCTGCATACCCTTCTGCACCCAGGCGATGGAGGCGGCAGTCTCCCTCTCCAGCTCCTCGGCGGACTTGCTGGCGGCGTCGAGGGCGGTGTGCTTGGTCGGGACGTGGCGGCCAGCCTCGAAGCCGGGACGCTCGAGGCACTGATACACCCACTTCTTGAGGTGGGGGAATTCGTTGATGTCGACGTTGCACCCGGCTGGTGGGTTTGTGAGCATGACGGGAGGAAAGATTGGGGGTTGTTGCTGCTGTTGTTGAAGAAGAAGAAGAAGAAGAAGAGTGGTATGGTGGTATGGGGGGAAGGGACATGTGCTTACCAGCTCCTGCTACCCATCCCCAGGAAGCTATATCGGCGATAGTACACTTGCCACCGACGATGTAGCCGCTAGGTTGCTTCTCGAGATGCGTGTCGAGGGTACGGTACAGACGACGGGTCTCGTTGATGTAGCGGTCGATACCGTATTGGATCTTTTCGGGGGCGTAGCCTGTGGAGGGGGATGTCAGATGTCAGACAGAGCTGCGAGGAAGGGAGAGGGGAGAGGGTAAGGGAAGATACATACGGAAGAAGTGGTTGGCTTGGCCTTGCATGGGACCGAGGCTGTATGAGTGTGAGTACGACGTGAGATGGGCTGAGATCGTATGAGGGGGTGAAGGGGGGGGGGGGGGGGGGGATGGAGTCTTACCCTCCCATCTGCCACATGAGCTGTTTTGAAACATGGTCAGCCATGATGCACGACGAAGAAGGAGGAGGAAGAAGGATGAGGAGGAGGCTTGTACCCAACTAGTCATCTCCCAGTGCTCGGGAGTATCAGTAGGGAAGGATAGCTTGTGTTCCTCGTCGTACCTGGCCACGAGGTACTGGAGTATGGCGCCACTCTCGAAGACGCGGATCGTCTTGCCATCCTCGGTCTTGTCGGTCAGGGCGGGGATGCGGCCGTTGGGGTTGATTTCGAGGAACCAGGGGGCCTTTTGCTCATTGTCTTTGAAGGAGATTGTGTGAACCTGTGACGGGTGTTGGAATTCCACTCTACATGCGTATGTCTCTCTCTCCTCTCTCCATCCCCTTCACTGAGATAGGATAGAAGAAGAGACACATACCTTGTAGTCGAGGTTGAGCTCCTCGAGGAGGATGGAAACCTTGATACCGTTGGGTGTACCGACAGTGTACAGGGTGATGTCGGACTTTGTCTTGGCCATGTTGAAGATTTGTTTTCCGATTTGGGATATGCGAGATGTCATGTATGTCGATGGTCTGGTGTCTGAAATGGAAAGGGGAGTCTTTGCCTTGTTTTTGCAGCTGTAGTTGATCAGTTGTGGGTTATGTGGTGTGTCTATGTATGATAATATTGGTGAGGGGGATGAAGACGAGGAAGGAAGAGGAGAGAGAGAGAGAGAGAGAGAGAGAGAGAGAGAGAGAGAGAGAGGGAGAGAGAGAGGGAGGATTGCTATTAGTACTGCTACTGTTAATCGTGGTAGTACGGAGCAAGGTGCTGCACCATGTACGGAACCTGTTCCCGGACAGGAGAGCCGGAGTTATTTTGTATTAGAAATCCACTCCCAACCATGATGCGGGGGTCTTCGGTCTTCGCGATTGGATCCGCTACGGAGTCTCTGCGTTCTGCTACTGCTCGCCATGGTTCGTGATGAAGAAGAGGGGTGGCGACAGGTGACAGCAGCGTCATCCCCTGACAGGCCCCCTCTGGACTTCGTCGTGAAGCATCATGGTCGGATCTCAAGTACAGACGCCAGGTCTATGACGGATACACATTCCCACACATGATCTCATTCACCAATTGAGGCATCCGCCCAGGCTGGAGCGGATCCTCGGAACAGCCTGCCTGCTGCTGCAATCACGCACCGTCCAGGCCAGCCACGTGATCATGCTCTGAGGAATAGGTGGGATGCTGTCCTGATCGAAAACGGCCGATAGGATGGACGGAAGAAGGGGGAGGGAGATTGATGCGAGAAGAAAAACAACCGCCCTCCCCTCCTCCTTCCCATTTTTTTTTTCAAAAAAAAAGAAAAAAGACCGTAAAACATATCATGGCCATACAGAAACCTCTCTGCTCCTGTAGACTGGACTGATGGCAAGGCTAAAGCTTAGGGTTGAGGGGTCTGGCTGTGACGTCAAACGTGGTGGGCAGGCTCTGCCCCTCATCCGGCCCTGCCAGATCTAGCACCAAGCACCAGCAAAACTGTGGCCAGCGATCCTGAACCGTAACACGAACCGTCCGCCGGCCATACCGCCCCTCGCACATACAGAGATCATGGCCGACAAGTTCCAGGGGAGCCCATCCCTGCGGGCTCTGCTGCAGTCGGCCGTCCCGCAGAGCAGCCGGACGGCTCTGCGGTCGTCGGTGCTGCCGGCCCTGCTGACGGCCGTGTCGGACATCGCCGCGGCGCTGCGCACGTCGGGCCCCGTAGCGGCCGAGGGCACGTCCAACGACTTCGGCGACGAGCAGCTCAACGTGGACCTGTCGGCGGAGCGGGCGATGCGGACGGCGCTGGCGCGCTGCCCGAGCGTGGCGACGGCCAGCAGCGAGGAGGACCCGGTGGAGACGTCGGTCAACCCGGACGGGGCCGAGCACGACGGCGACGCGACGGGCGAGCGGTACACGGTGGCCTTTGATCCGCTGGACGGGTCGTCCATCATCGGGCCCAACTGGAGCGTCGGCGCCATCGTGGGCGTGTGGGACGGCACGTCGGCCCTGGGCCGGGACCCGAGGACCGGCCAGGTCGCCGCCGTGCTGGGCGTCTTCGGCCCGCGCACCACGGCCGTCGTGGCCGTGCGCGTGCCCGGCTCGCCCTCGGACGCCCTCTGCCTCGAGCTGGGGCTCGACCGGGCCGGCCGCTGGGACGTGGTGCGCGACCGGGTCCGGCTGCAGCTCTCGCCGCCGTACCGGACGCGCTACTTCGCCCCCGCCAACCTCCGCGCCGCCGCCGACGACCCCGGCTACATGTCCCTCGTGACCAGGTCCGTCGGCGAGAGGTACACCCTGCGCTACAGCGGCGGGCTCGTCCCCGACCTGGTGCACGCCCTCGTCAAGGGTCACGGCCTCTACGTCTCGCCCGTCACGCCCGCCAGCCCGCCGAAGCTGCGCAGGCTGTACGAGCTGTGTCCCGTCGCCCTGATCGTCGAGTGCGCTGGGGGCGCCGCCGTCGACCCAGCCCTGGGGAGACCCGTCCTCGACGCTCCGCTCGCTCACACCGATGAGCGTGGCGGGCTGGTCTGCGGGAACAGGGACGAGGTCGATCGGGCCCTGCGCATTCTCGCCTCCGACACCGCATGATCTGTTCTCCTTCTTCTCCTTCTTCTCTTCTCTTCTTCCTTTTTCTTTCTTTTTCTTCTCTCTTGGAACCGTCCTCCTCTACTCCCCCCATTTTTTTCTTCTTCAAAAATAGTTTACGATGGCACCTTGCATCTCATCATGACATGGCCGGTTGTAATCGAGCCACTGAGGAATGGGAACGTGTGAGGGATACGGACACGACAGATGCACGTACACGCGCAGTACCCAGTATACGACGACAGGAGGGTTATTGCATGGGCCTCTTTTCATAGATTTTCTTCCCCTTACTCTTCCCCCCCCCCCTCCTCTCCTCCTCTCATTTCCTTTTTTTCATATCGGGTTGTCGTACGCACATACTCACCGCTGCAGTCTTCATACCACGAAATAAACAACATTATGCATAAATAAAAACAAAAGACCAGGGGAAGGGGGGGGGGGGGACCATCATAAAACGAAAGGTCAACCTACCTGTACAGGTGATGACAAAATGATCGGCACACAGACACGTCACAGGAGGGAGAGAAACAAGACTGCACTGCCAAGACACTGCCAAGAGAAAAAAGAGGCTGGGCCTTGTAAAGGGTCAATCTGTACCTTTTCTCTCTCTCTCTCTCTCTCTCTCACGTCGTGCTACCCGTCCGCATATCCAAGACATGTTACGAGAACCACCACGCCGCAACCGCAGAGTGAAAGAAGGGGCAGACGACGAAGGCTGGGAACGTCGACGGCGAATTGCCAAGGAGGTAGAAGAATCTCCCCCCACCCCGATGGTGATACTTCAGAACCATGTCACTCGCCGGGTTAGCCGGCGGATTTATTAGTTGCGTTACAGGCCAAAATGCTGGAAGCCGGGGGGGGGGGGGGGGATACACAGAAATACGTCTTTCCCGGAGTCTCCAGCCCCCTCTAGACCGTGGGGAAGCTCACCGGTAACTCTGCGAGGGATGGATGGAGATGAACTAAGTGAGACATTGCATACACGTACGGAGCCAGATGGGAAAGAAGAGGATGTACGAGTATGCAGTGCCAAGACATGAGAGGTCGGGGGGTTAGGGAACAAGACATTTTTCGAGGGTGGCGGGCGGGCCCTCATAACGTCTTCTCCCCCCCCCCCTTTTTATTTTTTTATTCTTATTTTTATTCTTCAGTTTCTTTCTTCTTTTCTTTTCTGGCAGATAGACATTGAGAACGACAGGATACTCTCACATCCGTCTTCGCTCTTCAGTCCTGGTCGCACATCCTGACCGTTCACACATCCAATCGACATCAGAAACAAAGGAGCGACAAGCGCCCCCCCAAACACAAGAGAAAGAAGGAAGAGGAGGAGAGAAGAAAGAAAGAAAGAGAGGAGAGAGCCCTGGAGAGACTGGAGACGACAAGGACGAAACGACGAGGAACAGGAGCAGAAACAGACATGGCGATCCGAAACATGATCATGTACGCCCTCTCACTGCCATGCCTAGCAGCAGCGGCAGCCGTGGTGAGGCCGAGGACGGACGGGACATACTGCGGCGGCGCGATGGGGCCCAACGCGACCAGCACGACGACCCGCGCGCCCGGGCCGGTATCGTGGAACGTGTACCCGCAGCAGCGCAGCCTGAGCCGGGGACCGTCGTCCGGGTTCGAGGTCCAGTCGTACGGCAACCGGTCCAGCCTCGAGCAGGTCCTCGTCTTCAGCGGCATCCCCGACGGCGCCGAGTCCTGCACGCTCGGATGGTCCCAGGGTTCGAGGGAGGACAGGGTGTTCCTCGTCGACGGGGAGTACGCCCTCGTCAAGGTCACGCAGCTCTCGGGCATCCCGAAGGACGACGAGCCCATCACCTACGATTCCATAGAGCCGTACGTGAAGGCGGCCGACGACGACGCCGAGGCGGCGCCCAGCCTGTCTCCCGACTTCACCTCGTGGGACGACGTACAGGGCCCGTCGGACCACGTTGCCGGCGGTGTCCGATGTGCTGGGGACATCTATCTCAAGATGGAACTGTATGATCCTACCACCCCGGCGCATGTCTATCTCTCTACGGACGAGGAGAATGGATTCTGGATAGAGTATACTTGCGGGCAGTGAGAGATTCGGTCTTTTTTTTCCCCTCTCTTCTTCTTTCTCATCTCTTCTTTTAATTTTGTACATCTCAAAGCGAGAGGTGGTAATGGATCAGAGTAACGACTTTTTTTCTTCTTCTTTCTTTCCATCCTAGCTAGAACACGTACGACTCAATTTTGAATCGATACCTTTTTTTTTTTTTTTTTTTTTTTTTTTTCATATCTGAAGAAGAAGAAGAAGAAGAGAAAGAAGAAAAAGACGAGTAATAACAATAATGATAGTGACAGTACCGACTAGAAACTAATGCCCCGCTTCCCCAATGTCAACCCCATCCATCTCCACCTTCCATCACACGGGGAAACCATACCGAGAAACTGGACGGGGGGGAAAAAAAAAAAAGTCACGTTACCATCTACAACTTCTACTCTCGATGCTCCTCTCCTCTCCTCCAGACTGTCCGACCCGTAATATCTTACTGTCGATTGACACTATACGGTGACCCTCGTCAAGGCAGCCAGCAAGGGCTGAGCCCACCTCTACGGTCTCTCCCCCCCCCCCAATATGCCCACACCGAGAAGAGTCCCCTGCGTCCCATGCAAAGGTGCGCACATCCTACTCTCCTCTATGTACGAAGATGATGCTGACTTCTTCTTGTTATAGAAAGCCATCTAAAATGTATGAAAAAAGAAGAAGAAGAAGAGGCAATTCAATTCACCCTCTCTCTCTCTCTCTCTCTCTCTCACTGAAACAGGAACCCCTCCTCCCCCCCCTCCTCCCCCTTCACTGCTGAGAATCAAGCCCAGGTGACGGACAGCGTCCCGTCTGCGAGCGGTGTAGGATCAAGAAACTCGAGTGTCGTCTGCCCTCCAAGACGACGCGCTTCATCAAGTCGAGCGAGGGTAAATTCTCCCGAGACCAGAGATGGGTCAACAGCCGTGCGAGAAAGTGTATGTCTCCTCCTCCTCCTCCTCTTCCTCCTCCTCCTCTTCCTCCTCCTCCTCTCCCTCTCTCATCTCCGCCTCTTCTGATGACCACGTACAGTCTGCTTCGACAAGGCCATCCCCCTAGGAGCACCGGATGGCCTGGATCCCCCTCCGGGAGACCCTCCGGGAGACCCTCTGGGTAGGAACGTCGGGACGGGAGACGGTCCGAGCAGTTTGGACGGGTCACCGAGAGAAGAAGAGTCGGTTGGCTCGCCGGCCCAGGCTGGCATGCCGTCGCACCATCATCACCTCGAGATGCTGGCCGATGCAGCCACCGCGGGAGGCTGGGTAGGTGGCAACGACGCCGCCGTCGCCGCCACCGTCCCGTTCCCGAGGCCGAACGACCGTATACTGTCGCTGCCTACGGTGGTCTCGTACGGTCTGGAGCATGGCGTGTCGCCGCCGCAGACTGGATATCCAGCCGACGCCGGGATGCTGAGCGGTGGCGGCGTGGAGAATACGCATCCGGCTATCACGGCTGTCAGGAGCAGACATGCTGAGCATAGGCAGTTTCCGCTGCAGGATTTCCGAGAGGCGTGTCTTCTCAAGTACTATCTCGATCAGGTGGCAGGCTGGGTAAGTGGTCTCGTGTGTGTGCGCTCTACTCCCATCTGCTTTTTTTTTTTAAGAAAAAAAGAGAGAGAGAGAGAGAGAGAAGACAAAGGAAAAGAATATGTGGAAAGAGAGAGAAGAGAGTACAGAGGGGAATGGCTGACAGGGAAACCCCCCCCCCCCCAAAAAAAAAAAAAAAAAAAAACAGCTCGACATTGCCGATCCGGACCGCCACTTCGAACTGGTCATCCCGCTCATCGCTCGGTCGAAGCCGCACATCCTCAGCGCCATCCTGGCCTTGTCGGCTCGGTACCTGCTCTGCTCGCTCCCCGCGCCGGACCCCCTCCCGGAGAAGCTGTGGTACCTAGACCAGCTGTCGCAGCATGTGACGCCCAGCTCGGTCACGGAGTACGTCCAGCAGTGCATCCCCGCCCTCGGCCTGTTCGACCAGGTCTTTGACGGCGACGAGCTGGAGGGCATCGTCGTCGTCGCCGTCCTGCTGAGGCAGGTCGAGCTGCTCGGGGAGGACTACCACCCTGGCCCTCGGCCCGAAGGGGACGGCACGCCGCCGGCGCCGCAGACGTTGCTCCCCACGATCAACGATATCCTGCACAGCGCGAGCTTCAAGGCCCGCTTCCCCCATAGCGGCCTGGTACAGGCGGCATACCTGATGGTGCTGCGGCAGGAAGTCTACTACGCCCTCTCGTCGGGGAAGTGCCCCGCCGTCACCAGTGCCAGGTGCTCGCCCGACATCTCGTTCATACATGAGACGACGATACACATGATTGAGGTCCTGCAGCTGTACTTTGGCGATGGAGCGTCAGATTCCCGGTGGGGTGCGTTGTCTCTTTACCCGTCCCCTTCCGGACATGTGTGTCTGGTGGAAGGCTAACGTATGTGCGTGTGTGTGCGTTAGATGAGCTCTCTGCCCAGCAGAGACACCTGGAGAACAACACGCTCATGGGAATCCAGCCTATATTCCACAGGGAGCCGGACCGCTCCAACGGAGAGCTTCTGCCGCTGCTCTGGTTCAACTCGAGGACGGAGATGTACTGCATCCAGCTGGCCAAGATGGCCCGGGCTATCCTGACCATCGGTCGACACAGGACAGGGTATGCTCTCTGCCCCAGACTCTACCCTGCGCTCCCCATCATGACGACGTCGGAAGCATGCATGACTGACCGACATCGACAGACCGGATTCGGCTGCCGCTCAGCAGCAGACGAAGGATCTCATCATGGAGCTCCACGGCATCGCCGCAGACCGCACAGAGTCGGAACACGGCACCTTCCACGCGTCCGTCATGGCGATGATGTACTACGACGTATTCACCGATGGGGCCGAGCGGTACGCCCTCCGGGGTGCGGCAGATCGGCTGCTGCGCATGTCCAGATGGCCATTCAGGAATGTGATTGAATTCTGCTCTACCCAACATCTGCATCTTGCATAGGGAAGAGAAGAATGGACGTTGATTCATCCCCTCTGGTCTCGTCTTCTCGGAACACACGTCTCATGTACATGTATGAATGTTTATATATATATATGTGTGTGTGCATGTATATGGTCATGTGTGTGTGTGTATGTGTGCGTATGCAACCACCTCCGACGCACCTACTGCACAGGCTCCCAATTCTCCTTGACGACGTCGACAATGACACCGTGATCCTGGTGCTGCTTGAGCCCGCTGACGACGACGACGGCGACGACGCCCTCCACGCCGCGCACGTAGATGGGCACGGCGCCCCCGTGTATGGCGTACTGCGCGGCCTGGTCGCGGCCCATGCCGAACTTGGCCGCGAAGGCCTCCTCGTCCCCGCCGTACTTGCAGTGGAGGAGCCAGGTGCTCGAGCCCCAGCGCATGGCGCTGCGCCTCTTGCGCTGCACCCAGAGCTCGTTGTCCGGCTTGACGCCCGGCCCCGTCGTCGACTGGTACACCACCAGGCCGGACGCGAGGCTGATGGAGATGAGGACCGGTGGCGACGAGCCCGGCAGGCTGCGCAGACGGGCGCTCAGAAGGTGACCTAGCTCGTGGGCGTCGGATATGGAGAAGGCGTCGAATGTGAAGGAGTCGCCTTGGGCGTTGAGGCTGTCGATCTGTAGAGAGGGGGGTGTTGATGGATTATTAACTCTTCTCTCTTGTTCCCTTTCCCTTTTCTTCTTCTTCTTCTCCCACTTCTTCCCGATACTTTTCTCCTCTCTGCTCCTTTACGAAAACAAAAGTTTCCAGAAAAAAAAAATTGACTGGTTTATCTTGATTCTTTCTCTTTCTCACTTACATCCTCTGGAGGGGAATTAATCTTGGCAGGAGTGGGATTCGGATTGCGAATGACGGCCAGCTCAGCTTCCAGACCGGTGCCGAGAGGGCTGCGACGGCGGAGGACCTGGAGAGACATGTTCTTTTCTTCCCTTCTCCTCCTTCTTCTTCTTCTTCTGCCTTCTTTTTTTTTCGCGCTGAACGCTGTGTGATTGCGATTGGCTGACGTATAGAGAATGAAAGGGGGGGGGGAGGGGGAAATCTGAGCAGATGGAGAGAAGAGTAAGAAGGACAAGGGGAGATGGAGTTCCCTTTAATCGTCAATCCCGAAGTGGGGGACCTTCGCCCCTCATCTTCTCTCCAGCTGATATTTACATTGTCATTATTACTTCGTACTCCGTACCGTAATACCAGAATACTTTCCCCCCCGCCAAAGTAAAGTAGCTCCGAGAGCTCTCCCGTCAGTTGTGGATCCCGCGACTGTTGACTGTTGACTGTTGACTTTTTTTTTCTTCATTTCATATTTTTTGAGAATGAACGGAGAATGCCAATGCCGTCCGTCTTCTTTCGGGGACTTGTATTTTCATCTTGATGCATCAAGTTTCATCAATCCTCTGTCCATTTGGGTCTCTGCACATATACATCTCTCCGCGGTGATACATCAGTCCATAACTTTGAGGTCACCCTCTACTTCGAATGAGGCATCCGTCTTGCCGCGGACCTCATCCACCGTCACGCCGGGGGCCAACTCGGTCAGCGTGAGACCACCATTGATCCTGTCGACTTGAAAGACGCACTGTGGGTGTTTTCTGTCAGTATCGTGTCTTTGTCTATCTCTCTCTCTCTCTCTCTCTCTCTCCCTCTATATATATATATATATATAACACTCTTTTCATATATAGGCTATCAAGTGGAATGATACGGTCAAGAGAGAAGACATACCAGGTCAGTTATGATCGTGCTCACGACCCGAGCCCCCGTCAAGGGAAGGCTACAGTCCTGGACAATCTTGGAGGATCCATCCTTGGCGACGTGTTCCGTCGCCACGACAATCTTGGTCTGATCAGGGTTGGCCACGAGGTCCATGGCTCCCCCCATGCCCTTGAAGACCTTGCCGGGGATCATGTAGTTGGCCAGGTCGCCTGTGGCACTGACTTGGAGGGCCTGGTGTGTGTGTGTGAGCGAGAGAGACAGATGTGATTATGTAGCAGATGCATCGGGAGACTTACACCGAGGATGGAAACGTCGACGTGACCGCCGCGAATCATGCCAAATGACTCGGAAGAGTCAAAGCACGATGCACCGGGGATGAGGGTGACGGTCTCTTTGCCGGCATTTACGATGTCCCTGGAATTCATTGTCAATGTCGGTGTATGCTGTGTATGCTGTGTGTGTGTGTACGCCTGAGAGGGGAGAGAGAGAGAGAGAGAGAGAGACTTACGCATCAACCTCATCCTCAGTCGGGTACGGTCCCATTCCCAGAATGCCGTTCTCCGACTGAATCCACACCTTGCGTCCTTCGGGGATGAAGGTGGCGGCGAGGGTGGGGATACCGACGCCCAAGTTGACATAGTATCCCTCCCGCAGCTCGTCTGCCGCCCTGCGACCGATTCTGTCCCTCCTCTCCTGATCTCCGCTCTTGGCTGTTGGTCGGGTCTTGTCCTCCCTGTTGCCCTTGTCCGACGCGGCAGTGCTGGGTCGGGTCTTGAGGACCTCAATCGTCTTGTCGGCCGTGGCGGGGACTATACGATCGACAAAGATTCCAGGAAGGTGGATCTCATCGGGCTTGAGCTCGCCTATCTCGACGATGTTTTCGGCCTCGACAATGGTCGTCTTGGCCGCCTTGGCCATGAGGGGGCCGAATGCCTTTGTCGTGTATCTGAGATGAGTCAGTATGGATGCACGTCAAGTTACTCTTTTTTTTCCCCTCATTTTGTTCCTTTTCTCTCTTTCTTTTTTTTTTTTTTTAGAAAAAAAAGGCAATAACGATTACACAGGTGTAGACCGATAATGATGAGAGAGGAGAATGAAGAAAGGAGGTTTTCTTTTTCCCACCTGAAGACACAGTTCCCCGCCTTATCCGCTTTCCAGGCCCGTATAATGGCAACGTCACCCCGGAGAGCGGTCTCCATGAGGAACGACCGACCCTCAAACTCCCTGATTTCCCTCTTCTTTCCCTTCTCCAGGACCTTTCCAGAAGGGTCCAGACGGACGGGGATCTCACCATCCTGCACGAGAGTATCTTTCAAAGATGTCAGTGTCCACACCAAGCACCGACGTATGAGCAGATTCTGCCAAGGAGAGAGAAGAAGAAGAAGAAGGCGGAGGAAGGAAAGGAGCTCACGAGCAGCAGTAGGCGTATAGAAAGCCGGGATACCAGCCCCAGCAGCACGGATCCTCTCGGCCAGAGTCCCCTGAGGACACAGCTCGACGGCCAACTCCCCACTCAGATACCCCTTCTCGAGGGCCTTGTTGTTCCCCAGAAACGACAGGATGAGCCGGTCCACCTGACCGGCCCCCGTCAGGATGGCCAGCCCCCCCTTCCCCTCTACGCCGGCATTGTTGGATACGGCCGTGAGCGAGTGGAGGGAGCCGACGCCTCGACGGTTCAGAGCGAGGATGAGCGTCTCTGTGAGTGGGATGTCAGACGGGCTGTCGTTCTTGCTGTACTTGCTGCTCTTGTTACGGAACAGTGAGGGGGGGGGAGAGAGAGAGAGCACTTCTGTCAGCGCTGGGCGGTGTCATCATCATACCTGCCACGCCGCATAGGCCGAACCCGGAGCTGAGAATGGTAGACCCGGACTGCACATCTGCCACGGCCTCGTCCGCCGACTTGAACACTTTCGATCCGCCGCGTCTGGATGACCTAGGCTGGCCCGACGACGCCGTCGTGATCAGCGTCCTGAATGTGCTGGGTCGGCAAGTCGGATCGCTTCGCTGCCAAGCGGGTGACACGGCGCGACGATAAGTAGCTGCTGCTGCTGCTGCTGTAGTCGTCGTCGTCGTCGCGGCGGTCCGTGGTAGAGGTCTGGCGACTGGGCGCAAAAGACGGATTGCTAAAGCCATTTTTGGTTTTTGATTCTTGATTTGGCCCCCTGTGCACCGTGCCCTTTTTTTTCTTCTTTTTGTTTTCGCGGCCTCGTATGTAAATCTCTCTCAATGTTCCCTCCTCACCGAACGATTGAAGGAGATTATGAATGCAAGAAGATCAAGGCTGGTCTCATCCTGAACCCGGGGCCGCTGTTGGCCTCTGTCGCAGATCAAAAATGTATGCCGAAGTGGGGGGGGAGCGAATGGGATGCCAGAAGTAGAACCCGGATGACGACATGGGGGTTTTCATCGTCTAACCTCACTTTGCCGACCGGGAAGACCCATCAATTATCTGTATTTTTACCTTTTTTTTTCATTGTTTCCTTTTCTTTTCTTTTCATCTTATTTTTTATTCCTTCTCTCTCACTTCATTACCAGTATCTATTTGCTTGCAACAGCATGACTATAATTATCTACATAGAAAGAAAAATCACAACAGGTAAAAAAAAACAAAATAAATAAAAAACATGCGTAACTTGCTACTAACTGCCAAACTCGGGCCAGTGCAGCCAGTCAAAATTGCTCATATCGTCCCATGACAGACCATCAAAAGTAGGCTCAAAGTCATTGTCCGGCTGACTGAGAACGTGCATGATCTGATCGTTAGACATTGCCGAGAACTGGAGCGTCTCAGGCCACAAGAATTGCCGTTGCTGCCGATACTGCTGTATCTGTTGTTGCGTCTGTGGAGGGGGTGGTGGTGGCAACTGCTGCTGCTGCTGCTGCTGCTGCTGCTGCTGTTCCTGGTCCATGGAAGACGAGATGCAGGTATGTGAAGGATGCGTGGCAGGAGGCGGATGATGATGATGATGATGATGACGATGACGAGATGGAGGAGGTGGTGGAGGGAGCGGTGGAGGGAGAGGAGGAGGGGACGTGTTGACAAAGTCGTGCAGGCTGAGTGGTGTGGTGGAATTGGCCGCCGTAGTGGACGGCGACGTCGTAGTCGTGACAGGCATGCGCGGCATCAGTGGACCGTCTGCCGGTGCCGGCCCAGCCGTCTTGGCGGCTCTCCTTACGATGTGACGGAGGTGGCGGCCGTAGAGGGTAGACAGCCCATTGCGGTGGGGGGTGACCCCCCCCGTGCGGACGAGCACGCCGGCCACCTCGTCGATGAGCTTCCTCACGCTCGGGGCCAAGGAGGAGCCCCCGGTGGCGTAGGCGCTCAGGGTGAGGGCGAAGCAGGCGGCGAAGGAGATCATGATGGCCGTGTTGTTGGGCATAGAACGCAGCTGGGTCTCGCCCTGGATGGCCACGCGCATCACGTTGAGGGCCGAGGAGAGGCCGGCCGTGCGGAAGAAGCGCCGCACCTCGATCGACGCCGTCGGGTGGTTGATGACGCTGCCGTACAGGGACAGCCGCGTGTGCGTCACCAGTATCTCCACGTAGGGCGGGAGGCGGCGCTCCGGGCCAGCCCCGATGGCCTCCCCCCAGTTCGAGTACCACTGGTCGAAGAAGCACTCGATCGAAGACTCGATCGACTGCGCTGCCAGGGAGCCCTCGCTCGTCGTCGGGGCCTGGGATGCGTCGCACATGTTGCGCACGGTGGTGAAGAGGCCGTCCTGGAGAGGGGGGTTGCGTGTTAGCGGGAAGGGATATATGGGGGTCTGGCACATCTATGGAGGTGACCCCTCACGCCGAGGATAGGCACGTACCAGATCTCTCCTCATGATGGCCATGGACAGAAGAGGCCCGTCCTGAGACTCTGCCAGAGGAGACTTGTGCCAGTCATCACAGACCTTGAGGGACCGCGTGACAGGGACGGCAAACGGACGTCCACGGGCAAGACACATCCTAAACAGCAGCGTTAACTCTGAACAGGAGGAGATTGGAGGGGGGAGGAAGGATGGGAGGAGAAGGAGAAGGAGGAAGGAGAGGAGAGGAGAGGAGAAGCCTACCCTCTCTCCAGTACAAAGAGAGATATCCAGCATCGCTCCCTTCCCCTGAGAAGCAGGACCCCCCGATCAGACAGCGGATCGAGGTCGGGGAAGCCGTCCATCTCGAGCGCGGTCCTGGGGTCGAGGCAGTCCCCGCGGCTCACGGTGACGGCGGCGCCCTGGCCCGTGAGGTCGGTCGGCATGATGACCTTGTGCAGGTACAGGTCGATGGCGATGGTCATGGCCATGGAGATGTAGACGGACGTCCCGTCGTCGGTGCTGTGCGGGCCGGGGGACATCCACGGGACGTTTGCCAGGAAGGCGAGGACGATCTCGACCGACTTGTACCGCTTCTGCATGACCAGGTTGACCAGCCTCTCTGCGTGGTCGGACAGACGCCTGGACAGGGCGCCGCCCTCGGTCCAGAAAAGCGCCGAGGCCGCCATGATGGAGGTGGTCAGGAAGGCCGAGCGGGATCGGGTGTAGTCCAGTGTGTAGATTCGGGGGTCCATTCCCCATCTTGTGTGGGCGAGATTCTCGTGAAAGCTGAGAGGTCAGTACTCTCTCCCTCTCTCTCTCTCTCTCTATCAAAAGAAATCGGCAAAAAGTATGAAAAAAAAATTTAAAAAGAAGAGAAATAAATATTAAAGAAGAAAAAAAAACTCACTATGCAAACAGAGCGACTGCTTCGTCCATGCTAGTCAACCCCAGGTCGATCGGATCCAGGTCCGGACCTACATCTAGATTTGCGCGCATGCCCGACGCAAAGAAGCGTCGTAGGCGACGCGTTTCCGGTGACGATGCCGATTTCCCCGCATGTGCCGAGTAGGAGGTGGCAGCGGCCATGTGACCGTGATGGTGGTCGTGATTCTCCCGCGCGCGATACTTGCCGCTACGCGCCGTCACCGGGACCGTCACCGCAGACGCCGTGGCTGTCTCGGATGACGGTCGGGCCTCTGCCGCCGCCGCCGCCGCCGTCGCCGTCGCTGATGCTGCTGCTGCTGCTGCTGCTGCCGACGATGATGCCGGAGCCGGCCGCTCGTGAGGCTGGAAGTAGGATGCCCGAGCGAGGAGCTGCAGTGGGTTCTCGGCGTCGTCGACGGCCAGACTCTCGCCGTTCCCGGCCGTCGTCGACGGGATGGTGTTGCCGTCAGGTTGGTGGTGCCCTGGGACAGAAGAGGCGGCGGCATAGCCGTCGCTGCTCGTAGTCGTGTCCTTGTCCTCCTCATCATCATCTTCGTCCTCCCCGGTCCCGTCTCCATCCATCATGGCTTCATCCTGCTGCTGCTGCTGCTGCTGCTGCTGCGGATATTGCACGTCTGTCTGGCCATTGTTCGCTGCGGTCTCACCTAGAAGGGCCTTCAGACGGGCGAGAACGACGTGACCGTCGGCGTTGGTTCCCGGTGCTTCATAACCGTTCAGCGTCCTCCTGACGGCTTGCTCGACCTGGTATAATGCCTTGTCTAGGCCGACACGTTTGCTTTTTACAAGGTCAGACTCATCTCTTCTCTCTCTTTGATCTTTTTTTTGCCTTGCTGCCTCTTTGTGTGTGTGTGTGTGTGTGTGCATGTGTATTGTGGTGTTGCCGAGAGTCAGACTAGGGGGGGAAAAAAAGATATTTGGAAAAAAAATTGAAGAAAAAAAAACTCACTTCTTGATACCCTTCTGTCTACCGACATGGACGTCTGGACGGACGCATTCCCTGCCGAGCTGGATGCACCGTCTGCATCTGGCCTCTTCGGGGGCCCAGTTACATTTGATCTTGCTGCGTCGGCAGACGAGGCAGGCTGCCAGACGAGGGCGTGACGACGACGAGTTTGTCATCCGGATCGGCGGCGTTGCTGGTTGACAGTGTTGAGATGTTTCAACGTTTCCTCATCCTCTTGTTTTTTTTTTAAAAAAAAAAAAGAAAAGAAAAGAAAAGAAAAGAAAATGAAACTTGCCGACAAGAGGTTATCCTCCACTGCTCTGCCCTCGAAGGGGTTCTATACAGGATCAGCTTAGCCGTGGCTCTCACGCCACAGGAGCATTGTATAGATATCGGTACTGCCAGGAGTCAGAGTGATGGCGGGCGTAATCTGTCGATGCCGAGGCTGGGCTGGGCTTCTGCGTCGTCGAGATAAGACCAGAAGGTGAGAGAAGGTGAGGTGCGGCCCCACTCCAGTCGTCGGTTCTGTCTTGGACCTTGGGACAAGAAGAACATGGCCCAAGATTGCTCTGCCCTACCGGGATTGATTACCCTGTAGTAGAGATCTCTTTGCGATGATGGCATCTCCCACTCTCTTGTCTGTCGATAGTCTGCCACGTCCAGCTCCAACACGAATACATCGAGCAAGTTTCTTTGCAAATATATATATATATATATATATATATATACATATATATATATATTTCTCCGTTGCCGTTGTAGCATCACACATACGTGGTATCGTCTTGCTATGCTACTTGGGGGACAGGAAAGTCAGCACGTCTACGGCTCCATACACCCGCGGCTCCGTACAACAAAACATGTACAGCATGCTAAAGTAGAAATCATGATCACCCAAGCAAGGGTGAATTCGATCGGCATGTCGAATACCAGGCTGTCGATATCATTCGTAACCAGCATCTTCAGTCAAAGGCAGATATGCCCTCGACAGTATCTTACAGCTGGCACAGACCACACTCTACATGCATCAGCATGGCCACCCGAGCTGGCCGGCTGCGACACGTCAAGCTAAGGGACTGGATTCGTTGCGATGGCTCTCATGAAAGGTCACATACTCTGCCTCCTCTCACAAGGTATACGATACCGGTACCCGCATCACCTCATGCTGATTCCACGACGAGGCTATGCCATGCGCAGTGCTTCCAAGTATGATATCAAGTCCACTTATATGCTTCACCTCCACCGAAGAGGAAGGACGGCATGTGTGATAAAGCGGGTAATATCGTATCACCATGATGCACTGCAACTTCAATTCCGTTAACAGGTTTTCTTCTTCTCTTCCTCTACACTCTAGTCAATCCTCTACAAATGATCTATCCGATGCTTTACATTTTCTGCCCACCCCTGCCCCCTCCCCTCCCCCCTCCGAAAAGAAGAAGAAGAAGGAGAAAGGGAGAGGAAGGAAAAAAAAAAAGAGACACATCAAGACGGCCTGTCGTGAAGACACCGTACGTGCTGTTCTTCTGTGTGGGATATATGACGACAAGTCTGGCCGGTCCTTGACTACGATCGAGATGACGGTCATCGAGTCTCGAAGGCAGGTAGAGGAGAGAACCTCTCTGATCAGAGGAGACCAAACTTCTCCTCCTTCTCCTTCCGTCTCTCATACCCCGGATCGGGCCAAAAGGTCTCGACAGGCCGAACGTTTGATGGTCCCGAGCAAAGAGAGCATGATAATATAGCTTCAAACAGCCAATGATTCACAAGCAAGGCCGTGCATCTGGCGTAGTAGGATGCTCACGCCCTAGAATCTGCACATGCATCATTCTCCCTTGTCATCCTCGCCTCCTCTCTTCCTTTCCCCTCCGGAACAAGATTGAGGATGAAACGTGCTAGGAGACGAGTTGGGAAGAGGGCTGCGACCTTTTTTTTAAAAAAAAAAATTAATTTCTTATTAAAACAATTTCGGTTGCATCTTCTTCTTCGCCTTCTCTTTCTTCTCAGTCTTTACTTCATCCATCTTTCCATTCATCTATCTGGTAAAAGCACGTCTTGTTTTGATATGGAACGGGACCCTCTTTTTCTCTTCTTTTCTTTCGTGACTGATGATACGATGCAGAGGGATCTCCTAGGTTTGTTCCCTGTTCCTTGGGAGAAAATTCAAGCTTTTCGTCTCGTGGAGAAGTTTCCTTTGCATAAACATGCACCGATATATCTAGAGAAAAGCAAGTTTTTAGTATTGCTGCGGATGCCAATAAGCCGGTAGCACGACTGACGGGGGGGGGGAGGTCCTACCCTGCCCTGTCCATGTTTCGCATGCGCGTATGCCTTGCATGCTGACAGAAAGTAAAGGACAAGTTGGTCTATAGATTATTATAGATTACTCGGTGATAAGCCTGTTTCACTTTAAAATCGTACATGCCATGATCCATCCTCTTGAGACTGAAAGGAGAAGAATAGCCATATCGCACCCCCCCCCCCTCCTGTAGATAGAGCATTGCAGTTATTGCCCAGGTGGTCGATACTACTACCATGTCTGAGAAGAAAGAGAAAAAAAATTGGCTGGAAATTACGAGCACACACAAAGACATGCAAGCAAACGTCGATGGGGGCAACGGCAAGCCATGTGGGCTGTTCTGAAACGGGAGAGAGAGAGAGAGAATGTGTGTGTATGTGTGTCTGAGAGAGAGTCAAGTGTACCAGTTCCTGCCATGTAAACCTCTGAACCGATATAGATACATCTCTGCAGGTGATACGCACACAGTATTGCTCGTATGGATAATAATCCTCCGTGGGGGAGGAGGACACGCTAGACTGATAGGAGAGGGGAGACTGGGGACCATTGGCATTCCTGCATGTTCCACCAGCGATGGAATCGATGAACGCGCGTGCGTTGCAGATTCACCTACGGGATCCGAAGTTGCCGAGGCTTGGCTCTCTGTTGGCCGGGGACCGGGAGGGAGCGGTTCAGCATCATCTGTAGACGATCAAGTCGTGACGATGATGCTCTCGCTCGTGTCCCGCGTGTAAGCTGTAGCGATGGACATCTTGTGACTCTCTTTTCATCATCATCATCATCGTCATTATTAATAATGTTTCCCATCCATCCTTCATAGCCGTCATAGCTAGGGTTTCCTTCTTAGAAATCAGGAATAAACCAGTTTTTCTGCTTATGTTTTACATATACTTCATCACCCCCCCCCCCCCCCCCCCCTCTCTCAGCTCACGCGGTTCAACGGCCGGGCCGCGCATCCCGCCATCATACATCGACCGAGGGTAATTTGCGATGCGACACAACCGTCCGCATCTGCCTCTCCCTCGTGATCTGTGCCTCTAGACCTGGAGAAGCTCTCTCCTAGAGCGACCCGGTTCCCTCGTGACTGCTTCGACAATACGCTCTGCTTCTTCTCCAGCTACAGGTGACATAAACTGGGGGTAAGGTTCACCGAGGTATCTAGTATCCGGTAATACCATATTACTAGTAAGTATCAATAGAGGATGGTAGTATGTAGAGAGCAAGAATATCACTATGCAGTATCCGATATGACAAGTCACCGATACCTGGGGAAGAGAGAAAGAAGAAGAGAAAAAGAAGAGAAAAAAAACTCCAACTTTCTATTACACGCCCTGCAGTCTAGAGCTGGTTCTTTTCTTCTTTTGCTGGGAAGGCGGCTCGGTTCATTTCCTCTTGGCGCGAGCGTCTGGTTCCATCTTGACTAGACCATGAGAGAAGAGAGTAGAGAAAAAGAAGTTGACTTAGGTTGGGGGGGAAGCCACGAACAGACCATATGACCTTACGCCTCATCACCTGCCAAGTAGATGCGGTCTGTCATGGGTAAGAGTCTCGAAGCCAAGAAAGACGAGCGAGGCTTGGTGGGGGGAGGCGTTGTCCAGAACTCGACTCTTGGCGGGAAGGATGGGAGACTTTCTTCTTTACCATCTCACGAACCTTTCACGAACCAAGAATACCGCTCACGGCCAAGCTCGAAGACTCGAGGTCCAAGATCTCCCAAGGCTTGAGGTCAGAGAGCAGAGAGCGGAGGGTGGAGAGGAAGAGGAGGGGAAATTCCGCTCCATCACTCGTCGCTCCGTCCCTCGGCGTCCCAAGGGCCAGATGAGCATTTTCACCTCCTCGGTCAGCACTTTGGGGGACCGTCTTGGAGGCTCTCGGTGGGTGGCGATGATTCTCAACCTTGACAAGTGTCTTGGGAGCGGGTGGGGAGCAGGCACCTGAGAGAGGAATGGCGGGAAGAAGGAGGGGGGGGGGGGGGGTCAGGGTTTCTAGGTGTTATAGCATCCAAGTCGTTCACCTTCGCATACACGCATACAGCCTAGGACATTGTGACACGACACAGCTAGGAGATGTAGATATATGGAGATGTATGGAGATATATGGAGAGACGTGGACAGATTCATGGAAATGTCCACCACCGGGGCACTCGGGATCGAGAAATCCGTCGAAAGGAATCGTGTGCTTTCCCCATTTCTTCTCCTCTCCCAGCCAGCTTACATGCATAGCGTCAAACTCTGTATCTTCCTGAAACAGCCAAACAGCTTCTAGTCCTAAGAGGGGGCTCCCCTTTCCTCTCCGATGTTTTTGGCTAAACTTATTCATGTGCGAGGAAGAGTAGTATTACCCGTTACGGCTTCGTGGGAGGGTCATTCGAAAGAAGAGATGGGGAGAAGAGTGAGCGCCGAGAAGAGATATGGCGAGAGAGAGAGAGAGAGAGAGACTAGAGTGGATAGTAGGACGCCATCCAGACGGAGGAGAGGAAGTGTACGGAGTATGCATGTAGAGTCTTGATCCGACAGGGCGGCAGAAATGGGGTTGGGCCAGAGCCGCAAGAACGTACTATGCCACAAGTAGTAGGGTGCGTTGGGCCATGGAAGCTGAGCAGAGCGAAGCAGAGCGAAGCAGGGCAAGCAGAGCAAGCAGAGCAAGCAGAGCAATCCATCAAGCAAGCAGAGAGAAAGTAATACTCTTACAGATTAGCCAAGGTGACAGAAAAAAACAAAAGAGAGGAAGGGGGGGGGGAGGATGCTGGAGTATCATCATCATCTCTCCATCTCCCTCTCTCTCTCCCTCTTTCTCTCTCCCTCCCTCTCTCTCTTTCTCTTTGTTTCTCGTGCATTCGCATGGACCACTGGTTGGATCGGGATGCGATCGTGCCATCGTGGAGACGAACGTGGGA